GATCTGGCCCTGGCGAGCGCCTCTTCAAGAAAGTAGTCCCGCACCCAGAGGAGCGGAACTCCGAGGAAATCACTGCAGATCGCTGCGATTCGGCCGCGTGCATCATGTCCGCCGGGCTTATATCGACGGAAAAGGATCAGTAACCATCCGATGCTGGCAAGGTCCAGAGCTTCTGCTAGGCTTTACCAAACCGCTTGATCACTTGAGAAGTTGCAACTTTGGGTAGTTTAGGACGTTTAGTTCTCATGGCCTTTTAATTTCAACGATTTTGGTCACCCTGACCTTCTGAGCTTCAAATGGGATCGTTGACCTGATCTGAACACCAGTGATCTTTTGCTTTGAAAAGGTGGACAAAAGCTAAAGGCGGTTACAGCGAAAGCTGTGAGGGCACTTTAGAGACAAATCGGGATTAATGCGTTGTTCGACCTTTATTGAACCGAGTGGCCCAGATACCTTATAAGCTGACGCAAATGAGCTCGCATAGAGGCGTCCCTTCATTTCAATTTCATGTTCGTGTCTGGCTTGATTTTTGTTAAGGAAAATCACGTCTTGTATCGAATATCGCTCACTGTGTGTAACCACGGATGCGCGGTGTTGTATTTTCAAAATTGGTCGCACTATATGTGAACTACTTCTCTAGTTTGATAGTTATCTGACGAAAACACTGCAAAGGAAACATTTCGAGGTTTGTCTTTGAATTCTGGCCTATATTGATCAAAGACACCAATTTTTAAGCTCCTTTCTACTGGTGATCAATGGTACTACGGCAAGTCACCAAAGGAAAGCACCAAATGGGAACCCAGGTGAACTCGCAAACAACAAGCCTCATTTATTTACACACACTGCACACACACACACCACACACCACACACACACACACACACACCACACACACACACACACACACACACACACACCACACACACACACACACACACACCCACACACACACACACACACACACACACACACACACACACGCCACACCACACACACACACACGGTGCCCACATACGATGTATATATATACACACACACACACACTATATATATATATATATATATATATATATATATACATATATATAGTGTAATATCCATGTTAATGATTACTTAGGCATATACCATTAAAGAGTATGTCTTATCCTGCTTTGGACAGCTACCGGCAAGCTTTTCTCTCCCCCGTATCTTTCGTACACACTAAATTCTTCTAGTTTCAGTAATGGAAAACACGGGTGCTGCATACCCACCAATTCAGCAGACCACTTTGATAACAATTAAGGCAGATGTCGTAACATAAGACATTGATGTTCATATAGAAGGTAAGAGCTTAAATTATTGTGGTTGACTTAGGTTGACTTGATTTACTGTGGTTAATACCGATGAAGGCTAAGAATCATCAATTGCCTTTTGTTATGTGACGTCTCGACCACAGCATATTACGGGCGGCCGCCGTTGGCAGCACACCTGTTCGGTGCCGTGTTCAGAATCATGTTGGTTATTGTTTTCTGACGCAATAACTGTTACTGTTCTGCAGGCACAATGTAACATGGTGGTTTTCCAGCAGTTAGTTATTTTGTTTGCGCGTTGTGTAAGCTGGAATGTGTGCAATAAACGCGTGTGAGTAAGGAACAAATACATAGCATATCTGTTGCGTTATACGTATGGCCGGTACCCATAGCAACCATATCAGGTGATGTCATACAGATGTCTTTTTTCTACAGCGTTGGACGCGCTTCCTCGCTTTTGGACGTCTCAAAGCACCTCGAACTTAGTTGGGTCCGTGTCCTGTTGGCTATGCAGCAGCGTCCGCGGATCTCTGGCAGAACCTGCTCTCACCGTGCATGCAGATTCAAACAGGCGTATTGCCAGCCTTTTCTAGCAGCACCCAAATATGGGCATATCAAATTTAATGTGATCGGGTATCCCGACTCTGTATGCATTTGCCTGACAGCTCGTGCACTGCTCGCGCGATGCTGGTGCGATGTTCGCGCGCTGTCGCTGCATCTCCAGGTAATGACACTTCTCACCTGCCCTGTATGGGCTGCCGCGCCGCGTCGTGCATGAGCGCATGCTGCAGTGCAGTCTACGCGGCTATGACGACTGTGCTCGGCTTGGAGTGCCGTCTGCGAACCGTGTACGGCTACCGCCGGCGTTTTTCTTAGAAAAACATGGTGGCTGCGGCTCGAGACGCCGCTACGTACCTGACGAACATTCTATGTTAAACAGCTTACAGGCAGGGGCGGATTCCACCTCCTCGCTCTGCTTGGGTTTTCGTTTATTTAGTCGAAGATGTCTGCAGCAGGTCATTGCATTTTGGGGGCTGTTCACAAACAGCGTTTTATGTATTGCCACTAAATCTCGTATACATGGCATTAATTTGTGTTCAAAACTTCCGCCAAAATACACAAATATAAAAATCGTTGTCACATATCCTCACTACATTCTACCAAATGCATATCTACATTGACAGAAAGGGTTTGATCTCAAAATAATCACGTCAAAGCTGTTCAAAGCGCCTCCACTCATATCACAGCGGGATTTTAACCGAGCACGTCGGCCACCTCTGGTGCCGAAGGATAGCGCCTACGAGCCATCTGCCGCGTCTGCAACGACGCGCGACACCCTCTGTCTCCCCTCTGCCTCCAGGCGGCGTCTCGATCCTGCCGCTGATGACGCTGCACATGACGGACCTGGGCCTGACGTACGCCGACGTGGCGCAGGTTTACGTCTTCATGCCGGTCGCCTCCTTCCTCGGACCCCCTGTAATCGGTGAGTGTGAGCTGGTGCGGTGAGAGGGATGGCGCCGCTGTAATCGGTGAGTGCGAGCTGGTGCGGTGAGAGGTGAGAGGGAGGGTCGGCGCCGCTGTAATCGGTGAGTGCGAGCTGGTGCGGTGAGAGGTGAGAGGGTCGGCGCCGCTGTGGTCGGTGAATGTGAGCTGGTGCGGTGAGAGGGTCGGCGCCGCTGTGATCAGTGGGTGTGAGCTGGTGCGATGGGAGGGTCGGCGCCGCTGTGATCGGTCAGTGGTGAGCATGGGGAAGGGATCAACAGTGAAGAGATTGGCCAGGTAGTAATTAGTGAGCTGTTAGCAGATGCAAGTGATGAGCGGAAGCGAAGATTGTCCGGGAAATGCTCGGTGAAAGGTGAATCAGGAGAAGATAGGACAAAATCGGTCGAGCAATTATCGACGAGAGTTAGGTGTACGGTTGGCAAGTAGACGAGAAGATAAGCTGTCCTCGCGGAGGGATAGCTAAACTGCTTCCACGCCTGGGGCCCGATCACAGTGCAACCCTAGTCACGTATGAACACAACGCATCCAATTGGGTTAAAAGCCCCGTTTCTTTTGCACGTCAGCACCTGTCCGTTGGCCTTTGCTCTGCCAAGAAACATTTTTTGCCTCTCAGATACTGCCAGCCAGACTACCGTCGAATTTGAAATGCCTTGGCCGTCTCAAGAACGCTCAGCGTCCTATGTAATATTATATGCATTCTCTCGCTTTACCGGAGCACGTGTGCATGCGTTTGACAATGCTGAGTCTCTCTGATTCACCGCTGTCCCTGTGTGCGCCGCTGCTGACCTGCGCTGTCTCTGTGCATGCCGCTGCTGACCTGTGCTGCCCCTGTGTGTCCGCTGGTGATCTGTGCTGTCTGTGTGCGCCGCTGCTGACCTGTGATATCCCTGTGTGCTGCTACTGACCTATGCTGCCTCTGTGTGCGACTCTGCCGACCTGCGCCGCCTCTGTGTGCGCCGCTGCTGACCTGTGCCGCCTCTGTGTGTGTCGCTGCTTACCTGCGCTGTCCCTGTTTGCGCCGCTGCTGATCTGCGCTGTCTCTGTGTGCGCCGCTTCTGGTCTGTGCTGCCTGTGTGTGTCGCTTGGCTGATCTGGTGGCTTCATCTGTGTGCGCCGATGCTACATCTGTGCGGTCTGTGCACGCCGTTGCTGATCTGTGCTGTCTGTGGTGCGCCGCTGCTGACCTTTGCTGTCTCCGTTTGGTGCTGCTGCTGACCTGTGCTGTCCTGTTTGCGCCGCTGCTGACCTGTGCTGTATCTGTGTACGCTGATGATGGTCTGCGCTGTCTGTGTGCGTCACTGTTGATCTGTGCTGTCTCTGTGCACGCCGCTGCTGACCTGTGTTGTCTTTGTGCGCCGCTGCTGATCTGTGCTACCTGTGTGTGCCACCCGCTGACCTGAATGCGTCGCCGCTGATCTGCGCTGTTCCCTGTGTGCGCAGGGTATTGGCTGACCGGACGGGGGCGAATCCGGGAGCTTTACGTAGTCTGCGTTATCCTACAATGCGTAGTCCCCAGGCCTCCTCTTCGTTGCCGCCGAGCCCACTGACGACGCCGCGCGCGCTAGCCGCCTCACCAACCAAGCACACTGGGCTGTGCCGACTGGCCGCCGCCGAACTGCGGAAGTCTGTCACGCAGCCAGGACTGCCGCCTCATCTGTCCGGACGGCGAGGCGGCGCTGCAGGCGTGCGCCGGCGACGCCTGCCAGACGGCGGCGCCCGGCGCGCGCCTCAGCCTGCCGCTCGACGGCGACGGCTGTCTGCTGCCGGCACGTCTCACCGGCAACGGCTCGGAGCTGGCGCTGCCGACGCTGGCGGCACTGCGCTGCCCGCCGCAGTGCCAGCTCGAGTGCCAGCCCAGCGCCGGCCTGCCAGCCTCCAGCCGGACCACGTTCTGGGTGTACTTCGCACTGCGGATGGTGGGCGTGTTCTTCATGGCGCCGTCCTTCACGCTGCTGGACGCAACTAACCTCGCGTTGGTGAGGCAGCACAAGACGCCAGGGCAGAACTTTGGCCGCCAGCGCGTGACGGCAATTGCTGCCACCATCATCGTTCCGCCACTCGTCGGTGTCATCATCGACTTAGTGAGCACGCCTGGTAAGCTGTCACTTAATCCCGTTTGGACGGCATATGGTGAATGTTGCTAGTTTGACGCGAAACTAAATCAAACTAAGCATGCCCTTTGACCGGCGTTAGAGTGTTTTGAACGGAATGATGGGCCCATAAATCGCAAAGCTTCAACTTACCACGTCGTTTGCAGATGCCTTTAGCTTAGCAGTACCTTCGTAGCAACAGCTCAGCCTACTACTCTGGCATTTACAATCGAATATATCTGCTGCACACACACAGGCGTACGGCCGCTTCGCGCGAGCTCTGGCAAGTTTCGGGATCTGAAAATAATGTGTTCCGCACGCCCTACACGATACCTGCATCTAAGGGCAGGCCATTTAGCGTTGAGGTTACATTACACGCCACATCCGTCAACCAATCCCGCACCGTGTAAACATCTCAGGGCTGTAGAGGCCTTCAAGTATGACAGCACCGAGATCGCTGTCCTCATAGCGATCGCACTGCAGTGGCAAATATGGCAGTTTGGCACTAAATCTAGGCACCGTCCAAACGATGCGTGTGCCGTGCGCGCGCCAATGTCATTGGTTGGTGGACAAACGGCATGAGATTGAAGTGTGCTCTGCAGCATCTCTGCGCAACCCTCATAGTCAAGGGCAACCAAAACGAGCGCATAATCACATGTCTACACCCTTATGCACAAGGCAAATAGCGTAGGGATCTCCCGAGTCCGTTATATTTTAGTTCTTGACATCGGGATGGTCTGTGAGACGCTTATTGTGTTTATTCCACAAATCTTGAGTCTCTTACTTCTCCTACAGAGGTGCACAAGCTCCCCGAGCTCTCTCCTTCAAGAAACCCGCGATTAGCCATCTGTCTCACCATTATTTGTGTCATTCAAAGCAAGATTCAACAATAACCATTGTCTCCGTGCGTCTCGTGTATCTTTTCTCATCATTTTCAAGAAGTGCTAACAACGCGGGTGTGCATTTTAGCGGTCTTAATCATCTGAATGCAAAGGACGAATGCAAAAAAGATCAGGATAGCTCACTGAAGCTTTTCTCAATTTGCTATCTGATCTTAGACTAAGATATGGTGATAAACACAAGCCGAATAGAATTAAGACATTCCTAAAGATGTCATATTTCTAAGCTTATGACATAATTTCTAAATCATATACCTTCCTAAAATATAACTAGCTATCTTCAAGCCTAACGTACGGATCACAACCATGCCGATTGAAACCACAACGCCAGGCTCATTCATGGCGCAAGTTATTCGACCGTCAAAACATTTGCTCATGTGGCTCATAACAAGCGAGGCAACACAAGTGCCCAACTAGGCCGCCCAGCAGCCACAGATCGCGCCCACCAGCGCCGCTTTCCGAATGTTAGTGCATCTAAAATGATTGATAATTCATGACTCACTAGCAGTGGCTTGCACCTAGGTGCGCCACCTGCCACCAATTCCAAAAGCAACATTTAAAAGAACGACGGCTCCGCCACTATGTAAATATGTCATATACCGTTTATAGTTCCAAAGTCCAACCTTGAAACTTGCTACCTTTATAGTCACATCGTGCGTACCTCTGTGATGGAGCCACCATCCTCCTTCTCACACGGTCACAGCTTCAAACTCGTTTTGCCATCGATAAATGAAGCGACACCACTAGCAAACCGCAACACTTACACATTAACATACCGTACAAGTTGGCATGGTAACATCGAAGCATTTTTGCTATGCTGGTTGGTTAGGTTTCAAGCATTCTGTCGCTGCGTTTGAAAAACGTCCGCCAATTCCGGCTTGTGCACCTCTACTCCCTAGATTCACTCCTCATTTTATATCCACTTCCCAGTTTTTTTATGCCCCCAACCCCTACACGCCGGCCCCTGTGCCGTTGGACCAACAGAAACATAAAATATATCCTCCACAAGGCTTAAGTATAAGAATTTGTAAACTAGTCGTAAAAAACCGCCGAATTGGTTTATAAGAAGGGTGACCTGTCCACGCACAGCAAATGAACTGGGCCGTGGCCAAGCGGCTGTATCTTCCACGAACGTGTTGGCCGAAATCGACAGTCTCTGTTGAACCACAGCAATGTGAAAAAGAATGATTTGAAGTTATCGAAACAAGCAGCAAGTTTGATGGAATGAGTTTACTTGCAAACTATTGATATACTATTGGCTCTAGTGTTGGAAAATATTGCTCTAAGTGTTTTGGCCCTTCTCGTGGTATTGCTGCACATTTATCCATAATTTCAAGGCGTTTTACTTGCATTCACAATACTTTGTTATGAACGGCATTCTTGAGTTATTCGATTGCAAGTCTTATTGCCGTAATGACTGGCAGCCATGTCCAGCTTTTTGTCCCATGTAACAAAAAGCATGATTCGTGTTTGAACCTTGCACAGCTTGCAACTACATTGACTGACAGGCAATTGATGATCGTTATGTCTAGAAATCGTGTTCGCGAATGTTAGATGTGAGCGACTGGACGATTACATTCTTCTTGTCCTTGAATCTGGGCATGGCCAGTGGGATGATATGATTTGAATGACGTTTCTGTGACGTCATGCATGCCTAGATGGCATTGAAATGGTCTGCACGGAATAGGCAAGCACATCTTCGCGGGTGCGTAGCTCAGAAACTAGTGTGGTCTAGGTCTTACGGAGGACAGAACTGTCAACTACACTGAATGATCTTCAAGCTGTCATTTACGTTTAAAATCTCATGCAATTGTAAAACACCCATGTTGATTAGACATGGCAATTTTTACCAAATTTAATTGGGATGTAATTGGAACCAAATCAATTTCCATTGGTACCAATACAGGAATGTAAGTTGGTAGCAACTCCGAAGTTCTCGAATAAATGGAGTACGCATGAGCGGCACCAATGGTTTATCGTTTGGGCTATCAAAAATGACCATAAGCTTCAAACGCCAGACCCGTTCTTGTATTGTATGATTGGTTATCATGGGACCAAATGCTCAATCGCAACAAATGACGAAACGGTACATGATGACGAAATAAACTTGTCTCAACAATAACTTAACCGGTTATTTTGCAAGGTCTGGCGGCAAACATATGTCTGCATCCCTTGTTTATCCAGCTTTGTATGACTGTAGGCACCTAATCATGCACTGTAGGATTAGGTGCCTGTGGAAATGCGGCGAGACATCAGGTGCCAGTAGAATAAACAGTTACGTGAAAAGCGCAAAGACGCCTCCAGTAACCCTAGCTGTGCTTAATTGTGGTTGTGATAGCACGAGTTCGCCACAGTTTGATACGCCTTAGAGTTTTGCCATTCGCAGCAATTTGTATAACCGCCTAGTAACCTTATGCAAAGGGGATAATGGGAGCCACTGCTCGTGCTGAGGGGCTGTTATTCAGGCTGTGCACCATTGTCAATGCTGAGGACCACTATCTATGCTGGAGACCACCGTCCACGCTGGGACCAATGTCCAGGCTGGGGAGCACTGTCCACGCTGGGACCAATGTCCAGGCTGGGGACCACTGTCCACGCTGGGGACCACCGTCCACGCTGTGACCAATGTCCAGGCTGGGGACCACCGTCCACGCTGGGACCAATGTCCAGGCTGGGGAGCACTGTCCACGCTGGGGACCACCGTCCACGCTGGGACCAATGTCCAGGCTGGGGAGCACTGTCCACGCTGGGACCACCTTCCACGCTGGGACCAATGTCCAGGCTGGGGAGCACTGTCCACGCTGGGGACCACCGTCCACGCTGGGACCAATGTCCAGGCTGGGGAGCACTGTCCATGCTGTGACCAATGTCCAGGCTGGGGAGCACTGTCCATGCTGGGACCAATGTCCAGGCTGGGGACCACCGTCCACGCTGGGACCAATGTTCAGGCTGGGGAGCACTGTCCATGCTGGGGACTGCTGTCCGTGCTGGGGGGGGGGGGGGGGGAGGGAGCAACGCCTAGGCTGAAGAATGCTGTCCATGCTAGGGACTGCTGTCCAGACTGGGAACTGCTGGGCGGGACAGGGATGGTTATGCAAGCTGGAAACCTGGACAGGCTGGCACCTGAAGAGGTTGCGGTCCTGATGAACAGGCTGGCTACGTACGCCCGGACTAAGGACCCATGCCCTGAGGCTGAACTCTTGCTTTGGTGTTTGTTACCGGTGTATGGTTTATACAAAAGTTGGACAAGACAACTTTTAGCGCCTACCCGAAATCAGCCTTATCAATTTTAAGATGCCAATCAGCTGTGCAAGAACATTTGCACGTAAACCGTGACTCACAGCTATGCCCAGATCCATTTGTCTGAGTGGTCTGAAATCCTTTACTTTCGTTGGCATCTGTATCACTTGTGCTCAACGTCCTCTTGCAATGTTTCTGCCATGCACTGATGTGCTGTCTACGTGGTTGATTCCAGGCAAGACGAATTACGGCCCAGCCTTCTACTCCATGGACCTGTTCGTTGTCTTCACCGTCGTCACTCTATACGCCTGCAACTTAAAGGTGGCGCTGCCGGAAAAGGCCCACTTCCGTCAAGTCACCAAGGTATGCTGGGGCTGAAACACTGATGAGGGTTACACTGGGTGGCATTTCTAGTGGGTGAACTAAAAGGAATGGTTCGCGTTTGAAGATATTAAAGCATGAGATATGACGAAACAAGCTCATTTATAACTACTGGTACGTTTTTAAAGTGGAAAGCACTGGTCTAGACAGCACAATTCTCTGTCCAGTAAATATGCTCCTCAATGCGTCATAGTTTGAGCACTTCATCATGCCCTGCACAACGTTGATTGAGAGTAAATTGGCGGCCGTTATATATGGAATCGCGCTCACTGATGCTAGGTATAAACGCCTGAACAATGCTATTTTTTATTTTGATCAACGCATGACTTATGAAATGGCAGGATTGGTGTAACGTTATTATGACGTCATGAGTGCCACAATGACTTTGAAATGCTCTCCCCGATATACCCTTGTAGTGAGAGTGTATCGCCTAGTGTGGCAGTCTACACGCAGACACGTGGTTCCGGACGCGCTTCGGTGCGCTGGCGTGAATCGTATCGAGCCGGTTGCTATTGACTCCTTCACTCGTATTAGGTACCTGCTGATCTTGCCAGAAGTGATATGCTTGTTTTAAAAGATTAAGCCATGCACGTGTCAGCACAAGCCTCACTAAGATGAAAACGCGATGGCTCATTGAATCAGCTATGATTACCTGGCCGAAACAGTGAGATATATTACCTATAGGATGAGAGGCCGAAAGTTGGACCAGATTGAGGACGGATAGGAGTTATAATTTCCAGGGACCTAAAAGCTAAAAAGTCATGTGGGGGCTGCTAGGAGCAAGGCACTTTGAATGCTGGGATTTATTACAGCAATGTCCATTACAAGAGCAAGAATGCTGTCCAAAGTTGTACTCAGGTTATGTCAAACCACGCCCAGAGTATTGTGTATATATCCCCATGCTTCCACAGAGATATAGATAGGCTTGAGAGAGTGCAGTGAAAAACAGCTACGATGATAAATAGGTTTAGCAACTTAAAAATCAGGAAAGGCTTCAGGCCTTGAATTTGTGTTCACCGAATGTTATAGACTTAGGGGATCTAATACAGGTATTCAAGATTATGCGAGGGATAGACATGGTCGATCTACAAGGAGCACTGTTAAAGACGCCGAGACTTAGAGGAAGCCAGTTTCAATAAGCATAAGGTAGGAATAGGACTATGAAGAGGCAAGTGTCATTTAGTCAAAGAGCAGTGAATCATTGGAACGGACTGCCAAACGAAGTTGCGGGAATTCCCTCCCTAGCAACATTTAAAACATCGTTTGGACAGGTTCTATCTGCCTAAGGATCTCATCTATAGCTACATTCAGGCAGGTCAGGTGGTAAGATATAGTCAAGGATGGGTGCGGCACCTGGGTTAGGTCGACCTCGATGGGCCTTTGTCACTCTTTGTTGGCCTGATGTCTTTATGTCTACGTCTATATGCCCAATAACTATCTACTGAAGCTGCCACGAGCCTTTTCGCCTCCGAGTTTGACCTGACCTGACCTCAATCATCACACTGTCAAGCAAACCGAAAACGACGGCCGATGTGCACCATCCTAGCAAATTTGTGACCACGACCTACCAGTCACGCCCGTGGACCTAGCCACCGTTCCCCTCACTGGAGCGGGCCGTTCGCGGCCCCATGCTTCCTCCAGTAGCGGGTAGGTAGGATTGGACCTCCTCTGTGTTGCCGACATACGAAATAACACCGAAAGAGATTGTACCCCGATGACATTGAAACTAGGGTGGCACAAGTGGTTACCAGGCAGACTAATCCGTGGAACGGCGTGGCCTCTGCCCAGCGTTGGCCCGCAGTGACCTCAGGCCAGCTTTCCCAATGAGTTGGACTTGTCCAACCTTGGAATGTGGGGAAAAGTAGAATCTGTATGTGCTGCCGCTGCATCGGTGGCACGGCATGTATAGGTGATCTCGATGCATTTGACCTGACCGTTGCTATTAGAACCCACGTGAAGGTGATGCCTGTCTGGTTGGACCCAAGTTGATCGTAAGAGCATAGAAATTAGGGCTGCAGACTAGTGCTCACGCGTGCCCCATCTTGGATGTAAGGGCGCACACACTGGTTCATGTGCACGCCATAGAATCTCATCTTCAGGAATGTGTGTGAGGGTTTGAAGGTAGTGTCCTCGGCCAAATGGTGTATATATATATATATATATATATATAAATGCATATAAATTCATATATGCATACACACACACACACACACACACACACACACACATATATAATATATATATATATATATATATATATATATATATATATATAAAGATTCATATATATATACATATGTATACATGCAGATCTCTCTCTCTCTCTCCTCTCTCTCTCTCTCTCTCTCTCTCTCTCTCTCTCTCTCTCTTGCTCTCTCTTTTTTTTTCTCTCTCCTCTCTCTCTCTCTCTCTTTCTCCCTCTCTCTCTCTCTCTCTAATTCACTGCATGAAGCCCGTTTATGCCAGCCTTTGTCAGGGTAGCAATGAAAGTAGCCGTTGAACCTCATACCAAATGGTTGTGTGTACAGTCCACATGTTGGGACAACCTTCTCATCAACATGTTGTCCTGTTTCAGATTCTGAAACGCCCGGAGACCCTCGTTTTCATATTAGCTGTCGCCCTTTTGGGATCCATGTGGGGATTTTTGGAGAACTTCCTCTTTGTTTTCCTGAAGAGTCTCCAGGCACCAACGTATTTAATGGGTACGTACTATCTTTAGATGTACCGACATAATGGACTGATCCCAAAGATACCATGTAACGGACCGTAGTGCGGTGGTCTTTCTACCCGCTGGTCGCTTCAAAAGTTTGTTGCACCGGTCACAGCTCACAACTTATCTATTTTTTCTGCGAGCTTGTTTTCGGTCACGTTTGTTCGCAAAGGTGATTACCTCCAAGCACCTAGTGCTTTTGCACGATGTTGCCAGATGGCGGCGATGGGTAGCTTTGCATACTGCATGTACCGTAACTGCCTACCATACCTTCACCTCATACCGAAAGCACGTGTGCGAACATTTGTACAAAGCAGCGTCGTGTGCAATCTCGAGTGTCCAGTTTGGTGTGAGCGGCGAAGCACGGCCAGCTGGCCTCACCCAGCTTGTTAATATTCATGAATCGGCGCCACTTGTAAACCAACGGTGTAAGTGTCAAGACCTGAATGGGGAAGAGCTACGCTGAAGATGACGTCAGAGCGCGCTGCGCGGCCGCATCGGTGTCGCTTTTTGGAGAGAACGCAGCGCAATCGTCGGAAAAAAACTTCTGTGGAGTGTCATACTGCAGAGGTCATCTTAGCGCTCAGAGGCCAGGGCTCTTTCGGGATTCGAAACCGAAACCAGCGGGGAGCCGAAGGTGCTAACCACTCGGCTGTCGCGCCCTCTTCGCTTCTCTGTCGTGCACGCTCTGAGTCCGGGTTCAGTGCATCAGGTGCTACTGGTTCTCTCGTTTTGCGGTAGACCCTGTCGCGTAAGCGCGCCCGGCGTGGCATGATTACGCTCTGCATGGCGCCGCGTGGCCTTGAATTCTGACCTGCGATGCCTGAGCCGACCTGACCTGACCTTCCGTTTCAGGTCTGACCATGACGGTGGCCGGCCTAGCATCGCTGCCCTTCAACTGGTGGTCAGACGCCATCTGCAGGAAGGTCGGCCACATCAACGTCCTCCTTGTGTCGTTCGCCGGCTACACCTTGAGATACATCGGATATTCCTTCATCAGGTGGGAGCCGCCGCTGCTCGTACATCATAAGCTGCATCATTTGTTCGGATGAAGAACTCAGTATAGGCCATCGCTCAGGGCGATTTCAACTCAGCGTCAGCAATGCGAGTCGTATTTTGTGGCCACGTTCCTGCAGCAATACGGTCGCATGTTCACTATTACGACGCTTGTCGCCTTCCTTTAAGCCAGCAACAGTCCGGAAACACTCGGCATGTTGCATACTTCAATGTACGGTCATTGTACGCAATCTCCCTCAGTTTACGCACTCTCACGATGTTTATGCAAGTGCTTGATAGAGAGATCGCGCCCGCTGGATGTTTCACTTGCCCTGGCTGGACTTCAGGGGGGGGGGGGGGGGGAGGGGGGGGAGGGGGTGGCCGAGGCCGGGTCAGCACAAGGTGCACGGGCTTTCTCTGAAAAGAACACCCCAAATGCGTCACCACGCCAGGTCAAGAGACCGACCCCGGGCTGCGGCCGAAGTGGGCAGCCTTGTGCAACTTCACCTACTGCTCTGACAGCCTGTACTGCTCCGCGGAAGAGCGTCAACTGAAAACGAGTCGTTTATTTCATCTTGAGTTCCGTAGCGAGATTGCTATATACAGTATTCTTTTTTTTCCACGTCCACTGCTGGCTTGTCGCCTTCTTGCATTCCGTTGTAGCGAAGTTGGTTTATATGCGTGACTGCGAGTCTAGATATGCCGTTATTGCTTCAAGCGTCCTCGTGAGAAAACGGAACCGGGATGGGCACCGGTGGTAATTCTCATCCTCGACCCAAGCATGCTGGCCCATTTATAGTGATTAATGTCTCCCTCAGTTGTGGTGCGGTGATCGGCCACTTCTCCCCTGGCACGATGACCTCCCCCAAATGCCGACATTGCGACGTCTGAATAGTTTAAAAAGCGATTAGATGAAACAATGGTGAAAATGAAGTAGACGCCTGTTCAGGACATAAGCTGGCTTTGATGCTGCAGAGGTAAAAGCTTGCCTCCCCTGATAAGCCGTCTCCACAACTTAAAATTTGGCGCGCGACGAGTGTCCCCATTTTACTCTACGTCGCTGTGGTGATGGCGAAGACAGCTCCTTCATGGTTTGTGAGCTGTTCCGGAAATCCCGCCGATGAATGGACTCACCTGTCTCATTCGCACTGAATTCGCGGGTAGAATAATCTGACGCACTCTGTGACGGACTTTGTTAGCCTAGTTCCGTTCCCGGCCGTGTAATTAGCTGCGACAAACACCGAGAGCGAGCGGGAGGCAACAGCGTTGGGCAACACGAGCCTAGGCAAAAACAGACCACTAAGGTAATTTAGTAACCTTCGCGGCGATAGCGCAGGCAAATAACTGTGCGCGATACGCGTGGGTGTCTCTCCGCGGGCAGAGGGTATGTAAAGTATTGAGGTGACCCTGGCCGGGCGGCGAGCCCCCCCCCCCTCCCCCCCCCCGAGCGGTCTGCTCTGGATCACGGTAAAAACACTACATGGCAGCGCTGCAAGATGGCGGCGATGGTGATACATTGACTGCTAATATTTTGAAAGAAGCGGTCTCATTGCATGCAGGCTGAATGAACATTATATCTGAGGGTTTGCAGAATGAGTTTTGCTGCGGTGTGACGTCTTGGTATTCATTGGTAAAACATTGTAGTGCTGGGTTAGCGCATTAAGATTATAATCACAGGCATTACGTTTCATGAAACTGAGTAATTTACCGATGCATCTGCATAGTCCAGACTGCATATCATTGGATCAACTCTGCGCCAAGTCACCTACTGCTTTTCGCCTCACCGCTGTAGCTTCCAAACAGGACAAGTGGAGAACGTGGCCATTAGAGCTGCAGTTGTTTCCCTCGGAAACCTGACTGCAGCATCGTCTTCAGTCACGGCTCTTGCTGCTTGAAGCTCACGTTATGCGCAGCGGGTATACGGGCGACGCAACATAGAACCGCCAATACGCGTATTCTTACTTTGTGGGTCATAAAAGCAATGTTGTCTAAAACATCAATGTAAGTGTTTGCCCTTACTGCACATTTCCTTTGTTCTGAATGATCAAACACTGTAAATATCCCACCTTATAAAGATCTTTATTTTTGGAACATCTTGGTGCATTTCATGAGGATACACTTTTGGTGCCAGCTAGGTAAAACACGCTGTCACATCCATACATAATTTTTTGAAAAGACGGTTTATTTTCACATGCAAACAAGCTCACAAAATGAAGTCAGAAATGCACTAAAAGTTAACAGCTCCAATGTAAATAGCTTTGCCAATCACTCGTGTTCACATCCCTATGCTGTTGCAGAAGTGCAATTACATATGAGTATCATACCAGAATCCGCTTAAGTTGTCATCAAGCGGCCAGCAACGCCAGTGGCCCGCCCTCCGAGGCCACCTCCAGGCGTCGCACCTCCCCGCTGTCCTCTCCCCACCGCGCGGGTCGACCCAGCGGCCGGACTGCCTGCCGTCAGGGGCTCTGGCAACACGCCGTAGCGGATCGACGGCGGAGTGAATGTGACCGAACTGCGGCCTCGGGTAAATCAGTGCCGGATGGTGACGATCAAGATCATCCGCCCCGCGCTGGATGGGAGCTCACTGTGGAGATATAGAGCCGGCCGTGGCGGAAGGCAGCTGGCCGTGGCGGGAGACAGCTGGCCGTGTCGGAAGGCAGCCTGCCGTGGCGGGAGGGAGCTGGCCGTAGCGGAAGGCAGCTGGCCGTGGTGGGAGGCAGCTGACTGACGGGAGACAGCTGACCGTGGTGGGAAGCAGCTGACTGAGGCGGGAGGCAGCTGACCGTGGTGAGCGGCAGCTAACCGTGGCGGCAGGCAGCTGGCCGTGGCAGGAGGCAGCTCGCCGTGGCGGGAGGCAGCCTGCCGTGGCGGGAGGGAGCTGGCCGTGGCGGCAGGCAGCTGGCCGTGTCGGAAGGCAGCCTGCCGTGGCGGGAGGGAGCTGGCCGTAGCGGCAGGCAGCTGACCGTGGCAGCAGGCAGCTGGCCGTGGCAGGAGGCAGCTCGCCGTGGCGGGAGGCAACAGCTCGACAGCCGTGGCACAGTCGCCCGACGGACGGATGATGGATGGATTGGGCGGGGATGACGCGGATAGGTGTAGTGCCGAGGTCGCGCCGGCGTGCTCAAACCAGCACAAACCCGGACGGCCGGTGGGTGGCGTGTGACAAGACAGCTACCGCCGGGTGACAAATGAACCGGGAATTGAAAGCCGACAACGCAAAAACAATGACGAAGCACGGCGCATCTTATTTTAGCCAGCGCCAGTCCCATCAGATAAGCGAGACGTTTCCTACCTGTGTTCATTTTTAGGGAGTCCTTTTGATAGTTCACTGTATGGTGGTGAAATTAAAGCACCTTTGTAATTGCCATCCTTCTACGGTGATACGTACCACAGGCACCACCTACTTTTCAAGCCTGGCCGAGTTTACAAAAACTGAACTGTCGGTGCATCGTTGTGCAGATTGCGGTGTGTTGGGTATCTCTGTGAGGTGACTCTGGCGCACCCAGTGACCTCGTGACTTTTAAGAAGCGCAGCTTTTTGCTGTTTCGTGGTGGCTCTGTGCCACAAACACGTCTGATAAAGCTAACTGATGCATCTGCTCGTAAGAGGACTGAGAGATAAGAGTGTTGGTTACACAGCAGTATGCCTGCGTTCGTGTCAGCCTTGCGAAGACGTGCCGTTCAATACAATTAGTTTTGAAAGCCAGCGGGCATTGAACGGCGTATTCAGTTGGTGGGTGCCACTGCGTACATTTGGACGACCTTAACAATAAAGCAAGTTAAGACTTACGTAGTGCATTGCATTACTAAGTGCATTGCGAAGAAAATTATGCATATAGATAAGACAGTGCTAGTAGCCTTATTCCTCGTAGGGTAACCAGGAGAATGGGAAGACAGAAATATTGATACTTTGGCTACGTGGTTTCATTGAAACGAATTATTTTGATATTCGTTTCGATAAAGGAATGCATCCAAGATATAAATGCATCTGTCTTTCCATTCTCCTGAGTTTTCTACAAAGAATAGGGCTATTAGTGCTGTCTTAACTTAACACGCTAACACCCGTGTGGCCGACTGGATACCCTTCACTTGGGTGAGGGTGTGGGGGGGGGGGTCAATATGACCCCCGGAGATTTCGGGGACTAAAAAAGCTAGAGACACCAAATTTACAGGGTGTGTTGACCTAAACGTGACCTCAATTAGGTCAAATTTTGAGGTTCCTAGGTCATGACCTTTGCGTCGAATAAGGTCAAACGAAGTCAGAATCCAGGTTGACCACTAAAGCACTCCCAGAACATAAGTAGCTGTTTCAAAGCGAAAGGTCACATGCTCATTTAAAGTCAGTGACCTCGCTTGACCTTTTAAGGGTCATGGGGACCAAAATCATAGAAAACTGCTCTGAGTTTTGCATTTGAATACACGACAAAAATTACGCTAGGCAGTATGTTTCCAAAAACAAAATGTTGACCCGGGTCATTTAAGGTCAATGACCTATTCTGACCTCTAAAAAGCCCATGGAAGATGTATAATGGTGTTCCTGCAATCGATAAATTCGAAATAAGCACCAGAAACTATCCCATACAGCGAACCCTGGAGTAATAAAACAGGTTGGGTTTGACCTTGGTCTGAACTTCATACCTGACTTAAGGCCAACGTAATTTGCTCATTCAGTGTTTGTGCTGCCTCAGAAAGCATCTCAGAGACGTATGACTACGTCAAACACCTCGTTGTTGCATCAGATTGAACAAATCGCTAAAAGCTGACCTCGCTGAAACCATGACCTGACTGAAGCGCCATAGGTCAGCGACGTCATGAGGTACATCTCAATTTGTTACACCAAACCAGTCGCTATTCAACTGTCTACAGCTTTCAATTAAAGCTAGTCAATTGTCTGCAGTTTAAAACTTGGTGTGGCTACGCCGCGCCGTTCGGGAACCATTCTGGAAAAACCTTCGGGGGTTGATTTGACACCCAACCGAGCGCGTGTTAAAACATAGCAAATTGTGTCCACACTAGGTTCCATGATTAGGTTTGTGCGTTCAGCCTTGGATGATGACAACGAACGTGTAGCGGCTCCAAGGCCTTGAGACCCGCGCGTTCATCGGCAGCCGCTCAACTTTTTAAAAGTTGATATTTGTTGCACTACGCTCTTCTGTTGCGTGTTGGTCTATCGTGTGCTCCCCTGGTGGTGAGTATGCTTTACCTTAATGTACGTCTCCAAGGAGTTAATGAAAGGGGCCACATATCAGAGGCACCACTTTCTGAGGTCGGTTTTTAGGGGGCTCAGCCGTATGGATTGACCAAACCTGCCCCCAAACCTGATTTCTTCCCGGATTTCGGCCGCTTGAATTTAAGGCTGCATAGAATACATTCCTTTAGGTTGCGTAGATTCGAAATTGTTTTCATGCGAAGGAGTGAGTTCCCTTTCAAGTAAATGTGAGCCGCCTTGTCGTGAAAAGCTTAGAATAGGATGTCATTCACGGAAAAAATCCTTTGTGAAATTTGGTAGGCGGTTTCTGACGACTGCCACGGTCGGCAATCGTGTTGTGCAATCACCATAGCCACGATTATAGGACAAATAGGCTTGCCATGTTGGGTAAACATGCGTTATTTTTCATCTGAACTACCCTGTTACTTTTAAAAGCCACCGTATATGGTGACCAATTGTTTTTTTATCCCAATCCAGGCGTCATCATTTCAGAAAAAAAGCTTGTCAAACATATACAGACTGGCCTAACATAATAAGGAGTTGCATAATATAACACAAGGTGCATACAGGATACTATTTGGTACATGAAACATGATGCTAATAATGTATGTAGTTACGTTTTACCAAGTATACTAATAGTTGAGATAACCGTTCTCCATTTATCTATCCAAGCAGTCCCTCTGCTCACATGCATTAAGGCGGCGGATGAAAGCGTTAGAGAGGGGGGGGGCGGGGGGGGGGGGGGGGCTGAAGCTGCATTGGAGGGGCTCCCCCCGGAAAGTATATCGAGTGACGCCCCCGTTACAAATGCTACACGCTGTTTTTTGTACATAAAATATCCCTTGGCAGGTGTTACAAGATATTTTATGTACTACACTGCCTCGCGCATTTTCCTTCCGGTCCACTAGCACGTATGTGGCAAATCCTGGTCCCAGCTGGACACGTTGAGGTGTCTACCGCTGACTACACAAGCGTTGACTCTAAACTAGTATCACTGGCTCACGCTACCCTAAGGCCGTGCATACCCCTCAATCACGGGGCGGCATAAATCTCTTTGCACAGTTCGTCGTCAGTGCAAGGGAATTCCATTTGCACCTAATTTGTTTGCTACGGTTATGTCTGTCTGGCTATCCGTCTGTCAACATGTACACATTTCTTAGCCTGACATACAGCACAGATTGCATCAATTGCCGCGAAATGTACACGGTGGGCTTGACCATCTGACCTTCTACCACGGGTGACGATTTGTATTCTTCTGTGAGGGCCTTGCCCCTCCCCCCGATGTCGAGTTGCCCCCCTTCCCAATGCTGGCCTGCCCCCCCCCCACTTTTTGTGCTGGAATGCTACAAAAAACGTGGGTAATAGATGACCATACACAAAGATTATCTTCTTTAATTTTTCTGCGTAGTGACGTCTCGTACCATTCTCATAGCAAAAAGTCATGGCTGCTCTCACCACAAGGTGAAGATCGTAACAGCTGAACGGATAAACAATGCAATAAACTTCACATGCCTAGCGCCATAAGACACGCAATGATTTGTGAGCTTAAAGTGAAAAGCTCTGGAATATGGGTATGACCTAAGTCCTTCTGGCTAACCCCGTCCCCGTGCCTCACAACCAAAATGCATGCTGCCTCCCATGACCGTCACAGAAGAGCGCCATCAGCGCCCTAAGGTGGCCTCTAAAGGGGCGCTTTTACGTGCCGATCAGAAGAGGCGCGTGCGTCCAGCGCCTACTCCCTGGATCCAGCCCTGCATGACTTCTATACTGCTTGAATTGAAGACTTCTATAAATTATCCAAACAATAAAAACGTATATTGCGTTTAATCTAAGCAAAGTGGGCTAAATCCGGTGAGAAAAAATAAGGTGGGGGTAAGGTGTTAGGCCTTCGGTTCGCCCCCCCCCCCCAATAAATTACAAAAATGTATAACCGTGCGTTCTACCACATAAAATGCGCCGGTGTAATGCCAGTGGCGTATTTATTCATATATGTATATATATATATATATATATATATATATATATATATATATATATATATATATATATATATCTATATCTATATCTATATCTATAAACGTCACGCTTAGAAAAGATGCGCTGCAAAGCTACTTACTCAGAAAATTGTTATGCGTTGCTCCCAAGCAACTAATGCTGTGAGTACCGAAGTGGCAGGCATGATAAGGACACATTAAGCACAGAAGTAACATGCGTAAATAGGCGTGTGCTGCCGACGTGTCAGCAAAACAGAACAGGACCAGAAAGAGTCTGGGAAACACAAAATATCCAACGTTAATTAACGTTATGGGGTAGGAGTTCGTGTTTAAAGTAAACGGCACAAGGAAATGCGCTGGTTAAACAGCGTTGTAGTGCTTAATACCGATTATGTTAACGGTGCTCAATATTTCGGGCTGTGCTTATCCTCATGAGCCCATCCCCTTTCTGACTGTTGAGGATGAGCGCACAGCTCGAAATATCCAGCGTTATTTCTTACAATCTACGTTCAGGGAGTCCTCCATACCTACGTCCACCCAAACAAATTTGCAAATTTTCTCGATTTTTTTTCGGTTTAGAAAGCATGCACTGGAACCATTGTAAAGTGAAGTTAGCCGCTGCTTTGTTTCATGCAAACGTTGAACGTCTGATTTCTGCAAGTTATTGACCTTAAAACGCACATGCAGAATTGATCTCGCGGTGCCTTCTGGTTTTTATTTCCGCTCTGGTCGCCAGGTAAAATAATAATTAAACGAAGAAAACCGTGCACCTGATGAACAAGTGGGCTACATCCGGATATTTTGGGGGCAAAAGGCCGTTCATCGTCAGGGAGGTCTTTGTCAACCCTGTGCCCTGCCCCCCCCCCCTTTGGCAAGCCTCTAGCTAATCCTCTGTCTATGTACAAAAGAAGATTACGTGGGCTTCGTTGAATGAGAGGCAAATGAGTGCCTGGTAGACCCATTCATACCTAAAGCCGAATTGGTTAAAGCTTCTCGAAGGCTTGTTTTCTGATGTGGCATGGTTGTAACGAGAATTCACGAGAAAATAAATGGTGCAAGCAGGTATCAATATACATGCTTTACACACCGATAAGTAGTGATACTGATCCATAAACGTGCAGCAAAGCAGTCATGCGGCCAGTCCTCAGTCAGCCAGGGGGGGGGGGGGGACGGCCAGGCCAGGACAGTGACACCGACGGCAGACGGGAGAAGGGCCCGGATAAGCCCGTACACGCGTCATGCATGCAGATCGATATGCATGAGAAGCAAGTCTGCAGAGCCGAGGTGATCGAAAACATGCTGCAAACTCGAGGGGATGTATGTTTAGCTCCTCAAAGCAGGGAAATGCTAATTCATTCAGATCCTGACAGACTCAATGCACTGCGAGGGACACACCACGTCACAAGGCGAGAAGGAATGTTTGTGGCTGGAGGCGGCGTCCTATCAATGCCACGACGCTGGCCCTACGCGCAGCAAAGCAAGCAACGACCACGGCTAAATGTCTTTTGGAGGTCGCGGATGCGGAGAACGGCGTTGCGAGAGCAGTGTGTCGGAGTGGTCCATCGGTGGTAAACAGCTTATAAATATTAACTTAGATCTACCTCACGTTGAGACACAAGTCCGCATGGCGTCACGAGTGGCGTCACCATGGCGTCACTGGCACCATCCTGACATCACTGGCGCCATACGTGACGTCAGTGGAGCCACCCGTGACGTCACTGATGCCAGCGGTGTCGCGTCGTCCCGCAGCGACGCAGGTGGAAAACGCCTGTCGCCACTATTTTGCCTGCCCATTTGAGGGATATGCGAGACGTACAATTGCTAAACCACAAGAAAGATATGAAGCACGCGCGTCAAAAAACGGGTCCAAATTTCAGGAGTCCGGCGTCAGCCAGTTATCTGGGCTTAGGGACGCGTTGACAGCAGCGGCCATTTTGCGCCCGAGACTAGCGCTACAGCAAAATAGGAATAGCCAATGTTGACGGGGAGACAACTGAGAATTGTGTCGGCAAAAGTGTGGCAGACTAGGAGAGGCGTGACGTCAGCTTCATGAGAGAGGCGAACGGTATCGCCTTTCACGCCGATTGCCGCAGGCTGACTAAACTCTTGGAAGGAGTCGGCGTCGAACCCGCGGCTTTCCGTACGCGGTCGAGATGCCAATGCCTCCACACCCACGTATGCCATCTTTTAAGGAGAAAAAATCCTCTGTCAGCTGTTTCACACGCGTTTAACCTCGTCGCAACTTGTTTCCTGTCAGGAATCCCTGGCTGTGCTTCCCGTTCGAGCTGCTGGAGGTGGTCACCACTCACCTGATGTGGAATAGTGCTGCCACCTACGCTGGACAACTGGCGCCGCCTGGGCTGCTGGCTACACTCACCGGACTGGCTGGAGCCCTGCACTACAGCTTTGGTACGTAGCCTGAGCATGCTGAGCTCATCGTGATATCCCAGGACGTGTGGACCAAATGCTTCATCGCATCCCAAGGGCTTCACTAAATATGTGTTCTCATGCGTTCCTTTCGACCACGTCTTATACTTGAGAACGCGGAGACATTCACAGCGCCAAGGCATCTGAGAGACCAGGAGCTCATATGCCTCGTATGTGATGAATGCTTCCAACATCTCATGCACCGTCAGCTTGTGATCATAAACCAGTGGGCTGAAGGGCATTATGAAAGCTTGATCCTATCTTCGAGTCCTCCTGCTATAAGAGAGAGTCCTCCTGCTATCTGCCAGTCCTCCTGATATGAGTGACGGCAGGCCCCGTCACCGTTACCAGATGAGTTCGAGTGTTCAGCAGCATCAGCATCCACCACTTGTGTTTATAAGGCTGATCGAAGCTCTAAGGGACCGGAACCTTTGTCGTGATCTCGGCACGAAAATGTTCCCCGGGTTTAAACTTCCTCTTCAAAGGTGGCTACCAGTACCCAATGGCAGCATGTCGCGTCGTGAAAAACTGCGACCCTTGGAGAGAAGTACAGGTACGGCGTTTGTCGGGATGTTCCCAGGATGCAAACGATCGTTGACCTGTTGATCTGAGTGTGTCATGCCGACTCATGCCCAGCATGACAAACTCAGAGTCCTCCGTTGGCTTTTGCGACAACCGGCGATGGATGGCGACATTCTAATGGTACGTCCCCAGCAGCACCAGGGCTTCTCATCAAGCCTTTCTTTTTTACTCCCTCGGACTTCGCCCCGCCAGGAAAGGAATGATGTATCTATGAGCTTCGATCGAGAGGGGCTTTGTCTTGCAGGTAGCATAGCGACCAGCTTGGCGTATTTGCGAACATGTATATTCATTGGCGGTCCCTCCGCGTCTACAAACTCGTATGGGGGTCATGGGGGACCATAGGAAACATAATAAATACGCGGGAAAGACAGGGACTTCTTCAGATTGGGTGTTGAACGAGCGGGACACGATTTCTAAGATGGCGGGAAATGACAGCGTGGCAGCAGGAATCCGAGGACTCGTCGCGTGATGACATCACTCGCGACAACGTCACTCGTGGCGACGTCACTCTCTTGGCGTCACTCTTAAGACTGCTACTCGGCCATGGATCGCGGGATCTTTAAGACGGTGTTCTCTAGCCCTTTCTCTTGAACGTACCCTGACTTGACCGACCGACTTGACCTGACTTAACGGGCCGACCGCGTGAGCGAGGAGAAAAGGAAAGCTCGCGGTACTGAGGTGCCGAAGCACGCACGTCTGGAACAACACTGACTCACGCACGCTTAACCGCCGGCGGTCACCCTGGCCTAGTGTCAGCCAGCTGGGGGGGGGGGGGGGGGGCTAATGTGTCCCGGTGACGACTCGGCAGCCACGTCGTCGACTTCGAGCAGTGACGAACGCCCCAGCTGCACCATACCACGTGCCGGGTTGGGCCGGTCGCCGCCGCCAGCTGCACCATACCACGTGCCGGGTTTGGCCGGTCGCCGCCACCAGTTGCACCATACCATGTGCCGGGTTGGGCCGGTCGCCGCCGCCAGCTGGTGCGACGGTGCGGCACACACCTCGTCTCGAGTATCCTGGCGCTGCGAGATCTGACACATTACGTTTCGCGGCCGGCCTGCTCGCAGCCTTGACATGTGGTCAACCTGTCCGTGGTCTCGCACAACTATGCTGTCACATGGTGCTAGAGAACCTTCACATGGGCTGAGAGCATGCGACACTCAGCAGCCACGACCTCCTCGTGCCGCCAGGCCGCGGCGTCGGCAGCTTCATCGGCGGCTACCTGATGGCGCTGTCCGGACCGGCCTTCACCTTCCGGACCATGGGTATCGGCAGCGGCGTGGCCGGCGCGCTCTACGCCATCGTCTACTACGGCTGCCTCCGTCAGAGGATCTCCCAACGAGAGGAGCGCCAACGTGGTCAGTTCCTGGCGCCCCCTCCCCTGGTAACGGTGCTCGCCACTCCTGCAGATCGTGGCAGGGATGTTACAGCTTGTTTGGCTGTCTTTTGCTCAGGCCAGACTTGCTCGGGCCCGTGCATGTTTCATGCCGCCTGTCCTTTTCACACGAGTACGCATAACAGCATGTTTTGATCATTTGTAACGCCAGTAAGTCGTAAAACTGCCACCAACCATTCCATATGCAGTACAGCAGGCAAGTGCATCCCAACTGACCTACTTCATGCTCACTCGTGCCTGTCGTGGCTATATATCTCCCTCACAGCAGTGTGCTTACTTTATCAATGCGGCGACTCCTCCACAGCTAAGAAGACCCAGCAAAATGCTGACCCGATGGAGGACCCGCACGAGCTAGCGGCAATGCTGGAGGAGCACGCCATCGCCACAGTGTAGTGCCAACAGTGTCCTGGCGGCTGAGCCGGCAACGCTGGGGGAGCACGCCATCGCCGCAGTGTAGTGCCAACAGTGTCCTGGCGGCTGAGCCGGCAACGCTGGAGGAGCACACCATCGCCGCAGTGTAGTGCCAACAGTGTCCTGGCGGCTGAGCCGGCAACGCTGGAGGAGCACACCATCGCCGCAGTGTAGTGCCGACAGTGTCCTGGCGGCTGAGCCGGCAACGCTGGAGGAGCACACCATCGCCGCAGTGTAGTGCCAACAGTGTCCTGGCGGCTGAGCCGGCAACGCTGGAGGAGCACACCATCGCCACAGTGTAGTGCCGACAGTGTCCTGGCGGCTGAGCCGGCAACGCTGGAGGAGCACACCATCGCCGCAGTGTAGTGCCGACAGTGTCCTGGCGGCTGAGCCGGCAACGCTGGAGGAGCACACCATCGCCGCAGTGTAGTGCCGACAGCGTCCTGGCGGCCGAGCCGGCAACGCTGGAGGAGCACACCATCGCCGCAGTGTAGTGCCGACAGTGTCCTGGCGGCTGAGCCGGCAACGCTGGAGGAGCACACCATCGCCACAGCGTAGTGCCGACAGTGTCCTGGCGGCTGAGCCGGCAACGCGGGGGGACTACACCATCGCCACAGTGTAGTGCCGACAGTGTCCTGGCGGCTGGGCCGGCAGGCATCCCGCCATAGAGCCCTCGCCACAGCGGTGACGAACACCTCGCCCCAGGCAAGCAGCTGGAGCGACGAGACTCGCTCCACAAAGCCGACTGAAGCGGGCGTTGTGCGGTCGCTGGGGCGTTTCGGCGCGCGTAGTTACGTCAAGCCGTCCAGTAGGGAATTCGGGCCATCTGGCCCTCGTGCCACCATTCATTGCTTGGTGAAAGAGATTGGGCCTACCAAAAAAGTTGCAAAATTGCCTTTCTCTTGGTTAAGGCGTGAATTACGAGTCCAAATTTTGATTTTCACCACTGGAAATGTCGAACAACGCAGACGTGCTCCTTTTACACCTTTCTCCTAAGCTGAGCTCACAATCATGATAGGAACAAAACTGCCTCTCTATTTAAGAATATTAAAAATTTCATATCACTATGTGACAATCATCTCCTGTTAGACTCAAGATAAACCCATGCTGCGGCATTGACGTAACGTAGAGAACGACGCCTGGTAAACAGAAATCTGCGAGTGGAGTCGGAAGAACTCTGCGACTTTCCATGAATTTATTTTTTTTTAAACTTGCTACGGGCCCAATCACTTCAAACGCACATGCTCAAATGGGTTAACAGTTGACAAATATGATAACATGATAACCATGATAGGGTAGCGAAGTAGCACGGATGTAGCCTAGTCCTGCATTACGGCATTTGTCTAACCGCTAGGTATAGTTAGTAGCATCCCGATGCTTAGAGGGTGCCGTGCGAACCCACTCCCAAAACAGATGTTTACTCAGGTATGCTGAGCATATGGAAGAGCGAAGGCATCTCGAACCTTGCGCGCGGTAGAATTATTGCCGCCTGTCTTGCCCACGCCGCGGACCGCGCGCGTTGACCGCGAACATGACGAGAAGGCCGGTCACACGGAAGGCCAGTCGCATGCCTGTGGATGGAGCTACATGTTGACGGATCGAAGGACCACATTCAGCTGAGCAGATGGCAACAAGTCAGCTGTTGCAGCGGCCATACGATGGCTGGGAAACCTTGCGACTGGTGGTTGGCATGGTCAGCAGATATGGCTGCGTAAACGACGCTTGTCGTCTGGTAGGTAAAAGATGGTCCACATGGGAAATTAGTGAATCTATACCCGTTTTATATTTGCAGGACCATGAATGTTACTTCACCCGTGTGAAAGTGATATAAAGATGCACCTCCAAGCGTTGCATCACGCGTCGATAATAAGCCACCAGCATGTATGTTTTGCCTGTTCTCAACGCGAAGCGCCTTCGACATGATGTTGTCGAGGAAATCACCATACGCAGCCCGCGTAGCATAGGGTTATTGTGAAAAACGTGACGATCAAATAAGGCAAGTATCAACATCAGTTCGTCATTAGGTAACCTTGACATCGTTCAGTCCGGTGACCATTATCTCGAAAAGAGTGCGATCCAAAAAGAACTGCACAGTCCAAAAAGAACAGCACGTCGGTCTACGTAACTTTAGGCTCCCGTCTGAGAATCCACGTAATGGTGGATCTGGATAAGCATGCCTGCAAGCTGGTTGCAAGTAAAGCATTGGACGTCCGTCAGCACAGTCACGTAAGGCCACCAAGTCTGCATGTCAGGTATGCGCAGACCTACTTCATCAGGGTATTTTTAAACCGTTGGTAGCTTTTTCTAGACCGTCAAGCGTTTGTTACGTTGGGTGGGTACACGCTATGGGCATTTTGGCTGCTCAAGAGTTCGCCCGGCCGATCAAGGGCCCCCCTGCTACTGATGACTTTCTGACTGTTAAATGGCCGGCCCTGTCGTCCAGCAGCCAACACCACTCAGCTTCACCCTCCTCATGACCCAGAGTCTAGACACACGTTCTTTTTTAACATGCTGAAGGCCCTTTTGGCCCCTCGAACGCCCCCTCCCCTGCGCTCACGAGTTGCGTTGGCTTTGCATTACCTCCACCTCACTGCAACTCTTCCGTAAAGATATGACTGCAAATAGACCAGCGCTGAGACGTGTCAGTGATAAACCAATGGCTCAATCACATCCGATATAGGGCATCTCCAGACTTGAACGCTGTCCCTCCAAGCACGGTCATGAGGTTGTCGTTCACTGGACGTCAATTTCCGTTCAGAAGAGCCACCTCAAGGCCGCAGCGTCGCAACGCTCCTGTCGCGGGCGGCCGACCGCCGGCCGGCCGGCAGCCTCTGCTCCCCGCACTGGTGCAGCGGGGTGCGAGCCGCCGCTCGTCAGCTGGCGCCGTGCTCACTCACCGACGCTGGTCACGCCCGCCCGTTTATTGCTGCGGTACGAGCGCGGTACACAACACGGTCACGTTTGGACGAGGCAGCTCCGCCAGGGGCCGCCGGCAGCGCTCGACGTGAGGGGCGGGTCGGGTGGGTCACTGGACGGGTAGAGGGTCGGCGTCTAGAGAGAGCGCGGGGTCGGCACAGACAGAGCCGGGGCTGGCCCCGGAGAGAGGACGGTCAGTGGTGAGACCCAGCGGCGCTACAGGCAACGCACCGAGCATGAGGCAATGGTGGATCGATGGTGCTGTCACCTTGCGAGGTCGACAGACACTAGTGGTACAGACTTTGACCGCAGTTCATATCCATGGACAGCTGAAGTCGACGGCGCTGAACGACTGCCCGCAACGCAGTGTGCCCACAAAATATGGTTCACTACTCACTTGTACAAAGGCGCTGCAGCATTGCCATATCCCTAAAGACAATAACTGCAACCGCCCTGCGAGCCGGGCAGTCTCCAGCTGACTATGTGAGGATGTTCCGGGTGGATCGGACTACCGGGGGGCGTGACGTCACCGCTCAAACCACCGGCGCATCGGAGCACACGCCCACCAGAGCGGCGCGACTCCAGCTCACCGGCGTAAACACGGCTCGTCGGCGCCGCGCGCGCGCCACACTAAAACGAGCGCGTCCCGCACGGCGTACGTCAGCGCGCGGGCGGCGGCGGCGGCGGCGGCGGCGCGACAGCCGACCAACACATCGACGGAGGGCGCGCCCGCGGCCGGGGCCGGCGTCCACCGGCGGCGGGGCGCGGCGCCCCGACCGGCCGCGCCGCTTGGTCCCCTCGAGCGCCGCCCGCGGCGTAGCGTCCTGCGGCGGCACCGCGCTCCGACTAGAGCCGCCGACGTTAGACGAACATGCTCATCAGGGAGTTGGCGTAGGCCATCGGCTTCACGTTCGGGTGCGGCTGCGGCGGAGGGGCGACTCAGCGGGGCAGCAGCAGGGGGGGGGGGGGGAACTTCTCCGGAGGGAGAGCGGTCTCGGCGGCCACCGGGTTGGTAACGTCTAGATGGCCGGTCTCAACTAGCCAGCACGATTACAACAAAAGAAAATGACGATCGTTATCGTTCGCAATCGCAAAGAGATAGCGAGGTAAAAAGAAGCAGTTAAGAAGACACCAGGGGTAAATGATCTCCAAGCAGTTCTATCCTGGCATATAATATATAATACACCATAAGAAAACTGAGAAAATTTTTGACATCCGCTTCACAGCCTATGTCTTGTGAGCTCAGAGGTCCTATGCTGACAGGTGTTGATTGTTATCCCAGGAGGTACTGGTTTAACAGCGTAATAAAGCGAACATTCGTTACAGTATTGGTTCGCGGCCATGATCACATTCACTTTATTGAAAAGGTTTGGCTGATAACGTCGTTTAAAAGCACCTCCCGGTATCTTGGACGTCGGAAACTGTTGGCATCGAAGCTCTGACCTCATAACACCGAAAAAGAGCTCAGGGCCCTCTGTGCTCTTATAAGGGGCGACGAGCATGCACTTCCAGCAATAATACGCTGACAAGTAACGCTACTTGTAATTGCCCCACTCCAGCGGAGCACACATTCTTACCACAGCCTCGTAAGTAGTGTATTTGGGCGTCATGTCCCCTCCTGTCATGGTGATGAACGCTCCCTTATTGTTCATCGTGTCACTGAAACGAGACGTTGCCAGTCACGCAAGCACAGCGCAGGCTACATCGACGAAGGGAACGCGACGCTCTGGTAATTATCTCAAAACGCGACACACCCTCGAGAGAAATACGGAACCCACACCCTCTGGTAATGAAACAAATTACGCCTCAGCTGCTTATCATAACGTGAGAATAGTTTCAGTTCGAACATTCAAATTGCTGGTCTTCAACTTACCCTAACTAGGTTTTACACTGAAAGGTCAGAATGGGGCTGTTTAAACTTATTACATATATGCAGTGGTCAGAGCAACGTTGTCTGGCAATTAACTCTTCAGCATTCAGAGATTTGTGCAGACAACCGACCGCCTTCGCGGACGCTACATGCGGACAAAAATTACTTTGGCCCAGATTACAAATACCTAATATCCAACTATTACACCCATGGAAAAATGGCCACAAACCACAACGTGAGTTTCTCTCCGTGCCTCTCACACCGCTCAGTTTAAGGCGCAAAGCACGGCCCACATCACGCGAAGCCCCCCTCCCCCCCCCCCCCCCTCCGTCAGAGCAGACCAGCCCTCCAGTGGCTGGGCCAGGGCTCACCAGTAGTTTGGCGCTGAGAAGACGGTGATGCACTTGCCGCCGTGCGCCACCTCGTACCCGGTGGCCTTCACCTCGTGCGAGCGCACCACATAGTCGAGCCGGTTGGTGCGCACGAACTCGTCGGTGACGTCAGGCCCGAACTGGCAACCGACGCCGCGCTTGGACGGGCCGCGGCCCGGCTGCGGCTGCGGGTCCGACCAGAGCAGCTCGCACATCAAGCCCTCCTCGGGCGGCTGGCGGCCGCGCTCCAGCGCGCGCAGCTCGGCCAGCGTCACGCCGTCGCGCGAGAACAGGCCGCCGTGCGTGACGAACACGCGCCCGTTCAGCACGTGGCACAGCGGCAGCCAGTTGTACACCTCGGTGAAGAGGTCGGCCATGCGCGACGAGTACTTGGCGTTCACCTCGCCGTCGAAGCCGTACATCTGGTTCATCGTCTCGCTCTCGTGGTTCCCTGCGGGGCGGCGGTGAGCGGTCACCAGGGTCAAACATCTGGTTGGTCGTCTCGCTCTCGTGGTTGCTCTGCGGGGCGCCGAGTGGACAGACGGGGCCGGGCGACACGCGGAGACGACAGACGGCAATGTGGGCCTCGTCCGGATACGAGGGGGGGGGGGGGGGGAGGACGTGACGGCTGCGAGCCAGGAGATACACCAGGAGGCGAGTCAGATTCATCAAGAGGCAGGTCAGATACATCAGAGGGCGAGTCAGATGTGCTGTCACTGCGACCGCAGCTCCGACCTCACCACACAACACAGCAAGCAACGACTGATGCGACGGTTCGAGGCAGTTTAATCAGGGTCTGTTGCGTGTGGTATACAAATTCATTTGCGTTCGCTTTAACCACGCTTGGACGCACGTAAAACTTCGCTAATTCATCGGGGTAATCAATTAGTTAAGTGCGGCACGCCTTACAAGGAAACAACATTAACAGCATACACACAACAGATTTGGACATCTCAGACGCTGGAATGGTTTTAAAGCTCCATCCCACCCTGCATTTGGTGACCATCAAGCGAAGACGTGCGCTTTATTCACTTTCCTGAACGCGGGCCACATACCTCTGGACATGAAGAAATGGTTTGGATACAGCAGTTTGAACCCAAACAGCGTTAGGATGCATTCCACTGAGAAGGAGCCTCGGTCCACGAAGTCCCCATTGAACAGCTGCGCCACATGGTCAAGGAAGAATTGTGCCAATTGGACATACATGAGACACATGTCCACGCTAAAGCGGCGCCAGCAAAACATACCTGCGATAGCCCCTACATCACACATAATGCGTCAGCGGCACCGAAAATATCACACAGCAGCACCGACAGGTCTCTATCGAACACGATTCGGGTAGTTCAGACCATCCCCATCCAAGGAAAGTAGATAGGTTGAGAAGACCAGACTGCAGACACCACACAGGGATTCTACAGCGCCGCTAAAAAAGCAGATGCAATAACACGAAAGTGACGTGTGAGTCGGCAGCAGACGCTGACACGAAAGCGGTGTGTAAGTCGGCAGCAGACGCTGACACGGAAGTGACTGTAAGTTGGCAGCAGACGCTGACACGGAAGTGACGTGTAAGTCGACAGCAGACGCTGACACGGAAGTGACGTGTAAGTCAGCAGCAGACGCTGATACCAAAGTGACGTGTAAGTCAGCAGCAGATGCTGACACCAAGGTGACGTGTAAGTTGGCAGCAGACGCTGACACGGAAGTGACGTGTAAGTCGGCAGCACACGCTGACACCGAAGTGACGTGTAAGTCAGCAGCAGACGCTCACACGGAAGTAACGTGTAAATCGGCGACAGGCGCTGCCACAAAAGTGGTGTGTAAGTCGGCAGCAGACACTGACAAGAGCTGAACACTGTCAAAGGATACGTATGGGTTGGCCTCGGAAGGCACGCCGTTGAGCTCGAAGATGTTCATGAGGTCGTAGAACTGGCCGTGGATGTCGCCGCACACGGTGAACTTGCTCTGCTCGGGGATGGCCACGTCGACCAGCGACGGCTGCTGCAGCAGGTACTGCTTGATGTCCAGCAGGATCTGGCGATGGCCGGAGAGCGCGTCACTCGCTGCATGCGAGGAGACCAGAGAATTTCTATGCAAGAAAGCGGTGGGCTAAACTATTATATCAATTAATTATCAACAGCTGGTCAAACAATCTCACGATCACCACCAGCACTCATCACTTATCAACTTTGCCTTCGTTAGAAAACAGAGGCCATTTACAACGCACTGGCTATTCCGTTACAGCAGCATCTTCGATCGATGTTCAGTGGCCATACCTTGAAGGCATACTTTCTGTGCAGGAGCTTCTGGTCCTTGAACCAGCGCATGAGATCAGCCATGAATTGGACTGTCACCCGTCCGTCCTCCAGAGCCGGACCGGCGTAGTCATCCTCGATGGCTGCGGACACGGGCGCCTCAGTCGGCGCGGCAGTCGAACCGCGCGTGGACACAAAACAGCACGTAACGGCGATGGCCAGGGCGGCGACGGTCATGCTTCCAGGGCAGGGCACACCAAAGTATAGCATAAACATCCCGTGATAACAGGCCCAGAAAAATGGTCCTACAGGTTGAAGGCAAGTAAGGGACAGCTCAAATTGAACCGCCCACTCCACACCCCCTCGTCGGCGCACGGAGTCGATCGCTCAATCAAAACTCGCTCCGTCGAAAAACCGGTATTCTTGCCGATCTGAGTGCGCGACACTGCCGCCACCTGGCCGTCAGAAGGGAGCCAAGCTCACTCGAGTACCGGGCACCGCTCCGCGAAACAAGCCGCGGCGGGGCGCACGACGAGACGGGGCGGCGGCGATCGCCGGCCACTCACTCATCGAGTCGAGATCGATCGAATCGGCAACGGTCGTCTGCACCTCGTCGACGGCGATGGCGCGCTCGAACGCCAGTCGACGCACAATCATGCGACACTTGGTGAACTTCTCACGCGCGTCCTTGTCCCGCGGCCGCGCCTTCATCACCTGGCGGCCGGCCGACGAGCTACGTCACGGACGGCCGCCCTGGTGGCCGCGGCGCGAACTGCCGCCGAGCGGGCGGAGCCGAGGCACACGCCGGGCTCGCACCGTTGTGCGGTTTGCGGTAAACGAGGGCGGGCGAGCTGATGTTTTCCCAGGCCATCACTGCGTGTGACAGATTTTGATGGCAAATGTGTCTGTTATTACTTTGGGGCACAGGAAGTCATAGCCTCAGCATGTATACCATGCCCATCCACGACAAACAAGTTCGCAATGAAATGAAGCAACAAGACAACCTTCGTTGCCCGTCCACCAGCAAGCGTCCACAGAACCATACCACCGACAGCGGCAAGCTCTGCCCCCCCCCCCCCTTCCCTCCCACTCCACCCTCACTCCCACCAGGACCACAGGTCCACACTCACGCTCTCGAAGTCGCGCAGCGCCTGCTTCCACTTGCCCATGCCCATGAGGGCGGCGGCGCGCCGGTAGTAGCCCTTGACGTACGTCTTGTCCAGCTCGACGGTGCGCGACGCGTCGGCCAGCGCGTAGCCGAAGTTCTCCAGCCGGAGGTGCGCCGCGCTGCGGTTGGCGTGGTAGATGTGGTTGTCGGGACACCTCTCGATGGCCTTCGTGTACAGATCGACGGCCTCGTCAAAGGCCTGAGCTGCGGACGGGGACGGGCGTCAGCGGGAGCGCGGACTGGCCCGGCAGTGGCAGGCGGCCCGTGTCGCGGCCAGAGGCACGCCATCATCTACTGGCTGACACAGGGCTCCTAACGAATTGATCTAAATAAAACCAGACAACTGTCTTTAATTAAGCATGTTCTTCTAAACTTATGATTAAGAAAAGAGGCAGGCAATCAATTCATGATAAAAGGTACTGATCCCTTGATCATGCAGCAACATACTAGAATGTGGCTGGGAACATATTAAAGCATGCCATGCACACCACCTAATGCACACAATAATCCATAACTATCATTCAAATGTTCACATAACATCATGACCATGGTGATTGAGAAACAGTATGGGTCATTCAAGGTGGTATAAAAACCATGTCAATGTCAAAAACCATCCAATGTCAATGTCACAACCAATCACCTTTCAATACCACCTGAAATGATGTTAATAAAGGCATCACAATATACCTGCATTACAAAAGTATGTCAGGTGCGCAACTGCACAGCCATATATGGACAGGGTTGTGGGAGCTGAAGGAATGACATTATGTGACCTCACTCGACCTCTTGGGGGCAAGTGATGACACTCTTTGACTTGCACCAGCTTCACTTTGAGGTTTCACAAGCACATTGACATCTGCGACTATTTTGTTTATCAGTTTATGCAACAAATTTCATGGGGCCACACTAAGATGGCAAAACAATTACTTTGACCAAAACTGAAAATACCTAACACGCAACTATTACACCCACAGTAAAATGACCAGCCTTAAAGTCATATGTTATGGTAGTGGCTGCTACCCATTTTTCATCTGTTTACCATGCCTGGAACAGAGTCAGCAAAGGGTGGCTTGTGCCTGCATGATGTCATTATAGGAATTGAAACATTGAGTGACAACAGGGTTTCATGATGATAATGAAGCCCATCTTACCAGTGAACCTTTCATTGGCTTGATTCTTGTATGTTTCTGCCTCAGTTTTTCTATCTTCATCAGCCTTCAGTGATGACTGAAAAATACATAAATGAGCTAAGAGCCACAAATTATGAGGCATATAACAAGTACCAAAGAAAATGTAGACTGACAGCTGTCTTCTTAAATTTACAAAAAGTCCTCATTCTGTCTTCTGTTCTGTTCTGTCTCTTCAATCAACACAACAGCTGGATAAACCAAGTTCACACCCTATTACAATATTCACTACTGCATTACAATATATTATTACATTATCACACAACATCATGACATTACACATAATTTAACACAGCATGCTGTTATCTTTGCTGCTGAAATAAGCCTCATGTACCAGCACAAGCATACACAATTTTCATGCATACACAGCACATGGCTCCAAATACCCAGCCCACCACCAAAGGATCATGGTGCTATAGGAAGATGATACCCCTATTGACAGACCCATGTACTGATTTATTGACTTACATAGGGGGACCACTCCAAAATCCACATGGCACCATGTGCATATCACCCAAGAGAGCTGCAAGGCTCCTGGTACAACCCAGAGGAAGGCAAAATCATTCTGAGACTGGGCTGTTACCAACTGTGATGCACTGCAATAGAGCTGGTCCTGACCCCTGAGTCACACTGTATCCACATTATCGAGCTGACTTATAATGACCATCATGGGTTTTGGTGTGAAGCGATACCCAGACTTTCCACTGTAATTGCCCTAGTTTGTGATTATGCCATAAGAGTGAATTCTGCTGAAAAGATACCCAAATGTTCAGACTCAAATCTTAAATATTCAATATTATGGACTTGCTCTGAATATGGAGTGGAGTCTGGAAATATGGAGTCTGCATACATTGTAGACCATTAAAATCTATGCCTGCCAACATTTCCTGACAAAACCAACTGATTTAAGAAAAGCCTGTTGCTTATATATAGTTTTCGCACCTATTTTCAGGGCAATCAATTTGATTAATGGTACAAATAAAACAAGAACTCAAAAAGATCATTATGCACACTCCAGATCATTTAAATTCCACAACCAAACTGATGTCTAGCTTAAGGGACATCCTCTTAATGTTAATATGGTCATCATGCATGGTATCATAGCCCCGAAATTTTACCATAAATGCAAAATAAGTATGGTAATGTTGTAATCCATGCCACCACAAACATGGACATCTTATTTGTATCAGCTATGTACGGGTAGTCAAGGGCAACTTGTGGAGGCACCCAAGATACCCCTGATCTGCTGCAGAACATGCTCAGTGGAACTAAGCCTAGTTTGAATATACTGACATCCTTATTCAGACAATAACAATATATTACTATTGTGTTATGCTACTGACATTATCTTTTTGAATGTCTGCCTGCAAAGAACCCAGACAGGGAACAAAATTAGGTGTATATTGCCAACATTCTAACTGTATAGTATGATTTTCATCTTTGCCATTCATAGTGAAGTTGTCAACTTGAATCTAAGTTTCCAATCCAGTACTCCTGCTCCAACATTATTCTGACACAATGAATTAGTGAGTTGATAAACCAAGTAAAAACCAGGAGCAAAAATTCAAGGTAATTAATAAGCAATTAATGCTTAATTATTATCCTTTTCAATATGTACTTGAAGGAGCTGCAGCATGTGATTTCCTGGTTATACGCTTATAGAGAGGCAACCTTCCAATCACCCTTTTCAAGCTTAGCAAATAACTTGTGTTGAAAGTATTGACATCTTTACACTATTGCCTTTAGCTTCATCACAGCAACACAATGCTACTGTCTGCATGGCTACTGCACCGTGATAACCATTTTGGTGTGCTAGTCTCCATCATGGTTTATGTTAAAACCACAGCTTTTAAACAACCCCATTGAACCCATGACAAATTGGTAACAAGAGCAGCACAATGCAATAAAACAATTTCTTGATGGCCACAATCCTTCGAGCAAGCCCACAGACAATGGTGCACAGCAAACAATGCAAGGCATGCGATTGAGCAACAGCACACATTTTGGGGCTCACATGGTCCGGCATTGTGTCTCCCAGTGCATCCGTTCCGCAGCCACCACCATCGAACATGTTCGATAAATAACGCGAATGAGCTATATTAATAGATGAGCTTCTATGTGACAGAACACTCCTGCCCACAAACTATCGCATGGGACCTTGTCCTAATGATTCCGGCGGCAGCCCCTATTCCCCCCTCCAGCAGGTTCCTCAGCACATTCCCATGCTTATCTCGCTTCCACTTATATCATTGGGTGACGCGTTTGTGCGCTATAGTTAAGTCTGATAAAAGGTTCAAAATCTGCCACCAGGGTAGCCGTGATCCAGCGTGCGTTTTTTGCAAGTATGATGTTAGGTCTTGTAATATCTAAAAATTATAATGGTTCTTTGTAAAAGTATTATGAAATAAATATTGAACCCTATTTAAATATGAAAAGTTATTCAAAATTAGTAGAATTCAAGTGATAGGTTTCAAAATGAGCACATACTTCTACTTGTGATGCAGTTTTTGTCTCACTAAAGGCAACTCGGAAACCTTTCAGTTTCAATCATTGCGCTTTTAAGGCAAACTTCAACCACAACATTGTCGCCCCAGTTTGTGGAAATTGATTGTGGAAAATGAGGTACTGGTGTACGCGGTGAATGCAGACGCTTGTGCTCAGTCAGAAGGGGTCGTGAAGGTGATTGTTATAAGGCGAACTCTATGTGGTGTGCAGATGGTTGGACCTCTTAACCCACATGGGATCCTTAAAGTCAAAAGTGGAATGGCCGATTCTTCATCTGTTTGCTTTATTTCGCACACACCACAACTTGACAAAAGGACTGATACCATTTAGAGCCGTATTCTACTCTGTAGCAATTACCTCATCATTACAGCCCTCTATTTAAAAGAATTGATGCATGCCGAGACCACTGTACATAACTGTTCTGCTTTTTTAGATTATAGAAGTCTGTAAGTTGATTTGGTTTGCACAGATGGAAGTTTCTGAGCATCTTTGTAGTTTCAAACATGATGGTCAGGGTTTTAGCTTGCTGACTCATGGAGTGCAAGCAAAACCAGTGAGGTAAATCAGATTGTTTTTTCCTTGGATGAGCTTAGTGATCAGTCACCTGCTTTTTGCTGCTGACATAGATCACATGCTGCAAAATAGTAGCTATATTGGTGCATAATGAGTTTGTTGAAAAAAATGCAAGTACACCAGGTCACAGAGCGGTGCCCTGATACAACCCTGTGGTAGTTGAAGGTTTTGTAGAATGTATGAGCTTAATTTAGCTGTTAAATGCTTGTATCTACTGACAATGACATGCATGGAGGTTACAAGCACTGTTTGGCAATCTTGGAGTATAAGTGTGGTAAAAATGATGATGTGATCAACTTATCAACATTTTGATGGCTCTTAGCATGAATAAACAAACTTTTTCTGGGGACAAAAGGAAAAAGGCATTCTTCAAGTAGTGCATGCTTTTTAAAAAAGTGTTGTCTGTAGCTGTGTTGGTTGCTGACAAGCAAGTGGCATACATGGTGTGTAAGCAATCTCTGATATGGTTAGCATGTAAATTTATGGTCTACTTTACAGATTTGGATCAGGTGTTTAGATCTTTTGTCTTTAGAAGTGCAGAAATAAATGCATGTTTCCACTGCTGAGGAACATGTCCATTTAGGGGACAGGACTTAGCAATGCCTAACAGGATATGCTTGATGGCACTGAGACACTCCTGGAAAACTGGCATTTGTGCTGCCATCACAGACCAATTTTGATGATTTCATGGAGAACACCCAATACCAGACATAGTCAAGCACTGGAGGAGGCATATGAAAGGTACATCTGGCTACTCATGTCAGTGACCCATACATCTTGTTGAGCTGGTGGGACACAGCTATGGAGCCTGCTATGCATCCATTCATTCCCTTGGAATGGCTGTTTAGGCTCAATGCATCTGGTTTCACCTCAGGAAAAGTGGTTGAGATGTCATGGCAGCTACAATCAGCTTGCAAGGTCAGCACATGCCAGAAAGGTCAACCTTCTGGCTACTATGCAAAATTGTTTGCATGTTGTACCAAAACATTGCATGATTTTGGTCATCTCATTTGTACATGCATATCTCAATTTGGAAAAATTGAACATGTACCATAATGCCTTTTTTACAACTATCACTTTACTTTGGTTTGGTTTTAGTTGTCTCTTTAGGTCAGACATCTTTGCATTAATACATGCCAAATTTGAAAAGATCATGTGCCCATGCGTTTCCTCCTTATATACGATATTGCCAATAATTTTACAAACAGCCCCATCACTCACAGATTCCAAATGTTTGTATACCCCACTTTTGTGGATGCTACCAACCAAACAGGGGTTCAAAGCCAGAGTCATTGAGCTTTTATTGACTTCACTACAGCTCCTGCCCAGGCACGGGCTCCTGTACTCCAACTCAGCAGCGCTGCTGGCAGCTCAGATGTCTTAATTTCAAGTGACAGAGGGGGCAGTGTGCTCAGCCCAGCCATGCATGGAGCAGCCCTCTGGCAAGGGATGAGCTAAGACCAGACTGGCAATTTGCTGTATGACAAATGTTGTATGCCACAAAAAGCTGCCAGCTGAACACTGTTGAGCAAAAATTGTGTATTATCATCCAAAATTCTGAAAAATGGGCTGCTTAATTGAAATGGCACAACCACAATGGTAGATTCATGGTGCAGTAGTGGCTTTTGCTTAGCATGGTGTAGTTTGTGGCCCATAGGACTTGCTAAAGAAAATTATTGTTCTCTACCTGTTGTGGCTTCAAGCAAGATCTGGGCACAAAGCTCTTGCTTGTGTACTTAATTTGGTATCCACTGAAATGTAATTAACTTCATATCCAGTGAAATCTACTTTACTTTTCATTCAGTGAAATCCTTACTAGTGATTATCTGACCACCATATGACCACAGCTTGTTGTTTCAGATAAGAGCTGCCATCAGTATGTCTTGGTGCCTAAATACAGCAAGAAGGCTCACCAGCCTTCCTGTTATGGGGATGAGACTTGGTATGGTAAGTGAAATGATTGTGTCCAAATGCAGCAAATTTGACAGCTTAGAACTGACTTCTCCTCATTGCACATTGTCTCCTCTCACATGGCTGTCATGCAGATGGTCCAAGTGCTGGCCATTCTGCCCCTGCTGTCACACCCATTCTGTTGTGTCTGTTTGGCCGTGTCCCATCTGGTAGCTGCGACGCCGTCTGACCGTCGTCCGTCGGCAGGGCCGGCGCGGCCTGTACGTGCGCCAGCTACCGCCGCCGCCGGACGCCCAGCTGCCCGAGGTGGAGCCGGTGGAGGTGGACTGGCGCCACGTGGAGAGGCTGCTGCCCCGAGAGACGGTGCCGGTGCCGGCGGCCAAGTCACGCTACCCCTCCGGCTGGACCCCGCAGCAAGGTAGCGTGGCCTGCGAGTGGCCGCTGGTTCGTCCGAGCCTGCCTCCTGTGACGATGATGCCTCTGAGCCTCTGAGCCGATGATACCTCGCCTCTGAGCAATAATGCAAGGCCATACGAGGTCCGCCAGCTGACAAAAATGTGGCTTATCTTCACGCATGGGCACGTGTGTGATTAAGACTTCTGGTGGCATGCAATCGATGCAGTTTTGCCACGCCAATGTCCTGTGAGTTGGAGATGCGGCGTCACACATCTCGGGCCACGTGCGACGGCTCTGACCAGACCGGCCGCCTCACCGCCGCTGGCCGTGCGCCGCAGGCAGCTCGGAGCTGACGTACTCCGTACGGAGATCGGTGAACCACATGCTGCCGGTGTATTTGAAGATCAAGGAGAACGGCGTGAAGCGTATCACCATGGTCAGGAACGTCCGAGGCGACGTCTGGGTGAGTTTGGCGCGCCGCGCAACCTCCCGGTCCGGAGGGCGACCTCCCGGTCCCGAGGGCGACCTCCGGGTCCCAACGGTGACCTTCCGGTCCGGGCGGGGATATCCCAGTCCCGAGGACGACCTCCCGGTTAGATAGGCGACCATCCGGTTCCCGAGGACGACCTCCCAGTCCCGAGGACGACCTCCTGGTCCTGAAGGCGACCTCCCGGTCCTGAGGGCGACCGTCCGGTTCCGAGGGCGACCTCCCAGTTCCTAGGGCGACCTCCCGGTCCCGAGGGCGACCTCCCGGTCCCGAGGGCGACCTCCGGGTCCCAACGGTGACCTTCCGGTCCGGGCGGAGATATCCCAGTCCCGAGGACGACCTCCCGGTTATAGAGGCGACCTCGCGGTCCCGAGAGCGACCTCCCGGTTCCTAGGGCGACCTCCCGGTCCCGAGGGCGACCTCCCGGTTCCGAGGGCGACCCGCGGCGTGCCGGCCACGCAGAGTCACAGTCGTGAGGTGCGGTCTTGTGGCGTGTCGCTCCGAATCGCCGCCGTCCTGTGCAGTATGGCCTCCAGATGTGGCGTGTTGCATCGCGACGTGCTCTGAGCCAGTGCTGTTCGCAGCTGTTTCACAACGAGCTGAAGCGGCACCTGGAGGCGGTCAATGAGAAGTTTATCGCCTCGCAAGTGAACGAGATGGCTCAGTACGTGCAGTTCAAGGGCGAGTACGTGACCCAGGTCAAACAGTGGATGCGAGAGCGGGGCTTGTAGCCGACGGAAGGCGGCCCAGTAGACGGCGCGTGCTCGACGTCTCGCGCGCGTTTCGGAGCGAGGTAAAAGCGGCCTATGGACACCGCGGTGCTGCAACATGTCAAGTGAATCTTCGATGAATGGAAAGTGGTGTTGAACGCGTGTTTTGTGGTACTGGGGTCAGCACGACTGACACGGCATGACACGGCCCACCTACATTGATTCTCATTCGCCTCTGCTTTGCTCACTGTCTGATCGCACAATGGGACATCCTGTAAGGACATCTGGTCTCGAGCTGGTTCCTTGCCAGCTTCGTGGTCGGGGAACGCGTCCGCGCTGGCGACGTCGTTGGCCTCGGGGGGGGGGGGGGGGAGGGGATGTTGATCCTGGCGAGCTGTTGTTCCCAATCCTCACTCCGAGGAGCAAAGAGAACCGTCAGGAATAATATCACGTTACTGATGCGTTCAGTCGCAATCTGCGTGGCGCGGCGACGGCGGACGGCGGAAAAACAGCGTGGCATGTAAAGATTACCTTTATTTCGAGGTGTTTCAAAACACGGTGTGAGCGATCTACCGATACTGTAGCGGTAAGACAAGGTCGGATATTTGTACAATGCGAAGCGGCATGCCCCACCCTCGTGCCCCGTCCCTTCACCTACAACTACCGTAGCTACCATGGCAACGCCCGTTTCACCAGGGAGCAGCGCTAGGGAGCGGCGACTATCCGCAAGCCTCAGCTGGCTAAAATCATGGCACGTGCCCCCACCTCCTACAGCGTCCTGCGCCCCCGCGGGCGACCCGCCCACTCCCGGACTCCGTCTGCTGACGGACTGTAACAAACGCCCACGCGACCCGCGGCGGTAACAGGCGGCATGTGCACGGCGGGGTGGCAAGCGAGGTAGCCACTTGTTCGAGTACCGTTCTACGTCCACTACAGTTAATATCTGTCGGACCAAATTGTCCGCGGTCTTCATTGCACGTGGCCGGACGCGGCGGCGGCGGCCGGCCGGCGGCCGTGGTGCGCCGGCCGGCCGCCAGAGGCGTTGGCGGAGTCGCCTAGTGGTCCAGGATGCGCAGGTTGCCCGATATGACCTTGTTCTCGAGCCGCGCGCCGTCCGGGATGTCGATTCGGTCGCCATGGTTCGCCACGATGATCACCGCACCCTGCCGCGCACCGCCGTGTCAGTGCCGTGTCAGCGCGGGACGGTGTCATGTCACGCACGATGTCATGTCAGAACCACAGACAGTAGCGCACTGGCGCCTCGCGGCGCCAAATCGAGCCAACAGAGCGAGTCGTGCGCTTGTACATTTCACAGAGACACAGCGCAGCTTGTGTGACGGAGGCCAGCCTGCCGCGACATCGTTGAAGAAGCGCACCGTCCAAATCACGCCTCCTTTTGTTCTGCCGGGGCTCGTTTCGGTTTGTCCAGCTTCAGTCGCTGTGAGATTTGGGCGTTCACACCCCAGAGGTGGTTTTGTTCAGGCCTGCACGTAATTACCGGTGTTCAGTTCGCCCTGATGTCCCACCCGCCCACGACCTATGCAAAACAATCCAAGCTGCCGAAACATTACTGCGGTCCGGCGTTTACGCCAGTGCGGCGAAAATGGGATCCAAAGATCACCGACGCCACGTCACGGCGCCACGGCGTGACGTCACCCACCCTCAGCGAGACGTCCTTGCCGAACGTGACGTCACCAGAGACGGTCAGATGGTCCAGCTCCATGATGTCCGGGATGGAGGCGAACCGCTTCAGGAAGTGGGCCACCTGGCGGCGGGCGCAAGCGGTCACGCCGTCACGCTCGTCAACCCGTCACGTCCGCCACGTCCGTCACGCTCGTCAACCCGTCACGTCCGCCACGTGCGTCACGTGCGTCACGTCCGTCACCCGACGCTAAACAGCAGTGCGACTGAGGCGCCCTAAAGCCCCGGTCGCCGGTTGGGCTCGCCGGCCAGGGACTGCCATTCGCCTGACGGCCGGCCCGGTCTGGGGCGAAATGGGGTGGGGTGGGGCGTGCGGGTTGGGTGTGTGGAAAGGACTTGAGGCGACCACAGGGTGTGACAGAAACAGTAAGTGCAGTGAGTGCAGTGTTGCCTTTTGAACGCTACACGTACCTCTCAAAGCAGGAAAATATGTTTGCACCGTTCAACACAGTTTTGGAACGCTGCTGCTGTTGACTGCCTTCGGTGCCGCCACGCTCCGGCGATACCAAGAGATACTTTAACAAGGAGGAAATTAACTTTGGAGATACTAACGAACTCTCACAGACTTAGTATTGTCAGCTCATCCATGTTAGAATTCGCTGCAAACTCGACCATTTTGATCAATCCAACGCGTTTTAAAGACGTACAGTACACATCAACGAGAGTAAAACTTACCTTGATCTACAAGTTTGACCAACGGAGAGCCGCCAGCGTCCATCAGAAAATGCATGAAAATGCTGCCTGAAGGAAAATGAAAACAAAACGAATCCAGAACCCCTCCCCCCACCTCCCCCACGACCGCGCGTCGCCGCGTTTCAGGCCGGGTCTCTGCGCGTGGTGCCGCTCACCTTAGCGAAGTGGTTGGGACCGAGCTTGACCAGTGGGGTGGAGGCGAACTGTCGCAGCGGCGACATGACCAGGTTGCCCTGATTCAGGTTGTAGAGGTTCGACATCACCAGGAGCAGGTCGTCCGTCTTCTTCACCGGCAGGAAGCGCCGCCGGGGCACGTTGATGCCTGGCGCGAGGGAACAGCAGACGTCATGACACCGCACTGGTCGAGCCGGACGAGCAGCTCTGACTGTCACCAATGCCGCCCCATCGCACCGGCCCAGCTAGACGAGCAGCTCTGACTGTCACCAATGCCGCCCCATCGCACAGGCCGAGCTAGAACAGCTCCGACTCTCACCAATGCCGCCCCATCGCACATGCCGAGCTAGAAGAACAGCTCCGACTGTCACCAATACCGAACCATCGGCCCGGTCGAAGGCGACGGACTGAACCAACACGGCGTCTGGTGTCTGACCCCTGCCACGTGTAAATGAAAACCGCACGAGACATAACACGCGAGCGAGACAGACAAACCATGAGCTTTGGAGAACATATAGAAATACGAGAATCTGCCAGACGGCCGCCACACCAGACAGGCGGCACGGCGGCGGGGGCTGACGGCGCCGGAAGAGACTGACCGGTGGCGCCGTTGAAGCACTTCATGGCGGCACCGACGGCCGTCTCCAGCTGGATGACGTTGGTGCCGTTGGGCAGCGTCTTGGGGTTGACGATGATCTCCATGGTGAGCAGCTCCTGCTCCAGCACCCGCTTTACGGCTGCCAGAGTGAACCGGGGTCACGCGCGGGCGGTGGCGGCGACGGCAGCGGCGGTGACGGTTGCGTCATCATCGATGGAGAGGAACGGTTCGTGGAATGAAGTGTCTAGTCGTGGGAATGCCGTAGCTGGGGCCTTTCAGCGGGCACAATGACGTCGTCTGGGATGTTAGTACTCCACGGTACAGATTAGAGATCCGTGATTTCGAAAGTGTCGCAGGTATCGCATAGTCGCAGCTTTACCACCTGACGCGACCGACGGCATCGTCTGAGAAGTCGTACCTCACTTAACAGCCCAGAGATAACGAAACTACGGCCAGCCCAAATCGCGACGACCCCTCGTTCCGCCAAGTCCACCGACACACACGCACGGTCGCTGACGCGGGTTACAAGCACGCCGTCAAGTGGCCGGGCTGACGTGGCTTTCACAGTCGAGCCGAGTTTGAGCCGAGCTGGGCGCATATCGCCGGCCACGTCACGACGGTGGAGGTGACGTAGCCGTTCAGCCTGCACCAACTGGACTGCAGCGCCAGACGCCGCAAGGTGCCGGCGCACCGAGGGGCTTCCTTGTGCAATATCTCACGACACGATCGACTCGGCGACGGCCTATCGGGCAAAGTCTACGAGGCGAGCCTTCGCGCCATATCAGGATCATGTGCAGTGCACTGAAGCACTGCGATACTTGCCGAGAAATTACGGCAGACCTTTGGTAAAGTACAAGCACTCGCCGACAATAAAAAGGAGCAGCTGACAAACGCAATGTAAAACTAATTTGCCGTCGTTTATAGCTTATTAACTAGTTACCACAGACTGCTGTCATTGTAAGCTTCTGAACTAGCTACCACAGTCTCACCTTTAAGATTGACCCACAGATTATTCGTGTTGAAGATCCTAAACTTCTTCACCGACTTGAACTCGTCCACATGCTCCTTGGGCACCTGCGCGATCTCCAGCAGCCGGATCTTCTTCATGTACTCGCAGAGCGTGCCTCCCTGTACAGACGGGTGTGTCATCACCACCGATTCCCGCTGCCGCGCGGCGCCATCTCCCCAGGCCAGTGCTCTCCCCCCTCCCCCTCCCAGCAACGCGAGAGCCCTCCTCGTCCCGTCCCGTCCCGGTGTGACCCGGCCCCGCGGCGGCTGACCCCTGACCTTGATATCGGCGCGTGTCTTGTCGGTGACCTCCATGAGGAACTCGCAGTGCCGCTCGCCAGACGGCGGGTTCAGCAGCGAGCTCAAGATGGCCGTGTCGACCGTGGCGCCCAGGTTGTCTGAAGCGGAGAAGGCGGGGGGGGGGGGGGGGTCAAGACCGCGACCTGGCACGGGCTGGGTCACGGCCGCGACGGCGACGCCTCCTGAATCAGCGACTCCCCTCCACACAGAGAGGGGGGAGGCGACTTCCAGCGAAGCGACGCTCCGCCCCACAGCAGCCCCATTGCGACACGCGTCGAAGCAGGTCGCAGCACAGTGTCGACCCAGCAGTGGATTGAGCATGATAGGAACGGGCGGCGATGTTACGAGCGCGCCGACCACCAGGGTTATGTCGCGTATCACGAGTGATGCCTTACCTATGTTGGAAATGAAGACATATTCGCGACCCTCGTCAATGAACTGGTTAAGTAGCCCCGAGTTGTGGAAGGACTGATAGAAGTCACCATGACCGGGAGGGTACCACCTGGAAAACAGCCGCCGCTGTAACAGGTGTCATCTTTACAACTGCTAATACGCGCTCCGGACCGATGACCGCAAACAAAGATCCAAATGACAAAATACATGCCAACACGCAAATACAAAACTAGCATAAATGACCACCCTTTTAACAAAAGCAATGAACCTTGCGTCCATAAGTCAGAGAAGCCCTTCCATCACAACAGATATCCTCTGCACTGTTCAGGATGTAGATGTTAGAGCGGTGTGTGCGGAGCGGAGGGGGGGGGGGGGTCGTGACGTATGCGACAGGACCAGGCGGCAGGTGACGGCGCCCCACCGCGGCGAACGCATGTGAACCAGGCCCCACCGGCGGCGCGGGGCGGGGGCAGGCAGTGCAGCCTTCCGCGGTCGGTGCTCCCGCAGCCGCTCCCGCTCCCGGGGGACCCACACAGCTGCGACGCCGGGAGTTGGGGCCGGGCGTCGGGGCTGGGAGTCGGGGCTGGGAGTCGAGGCTGGGAGTCGGGGCTGGGATTTGGGCCCGGGACTCGGGGCTGGGAGTCCTCGAGAGAGCGAGATAGCCGACCCAGTACTGTCTGGCCCAGCTCTCTCATCGGTCAGACCCCACTCAGCGTCAGGCCTGTTGCTCTCAGACAGCCAGCACGGCACAGCGCTGGCCAGCGTCTCGCCTAGGCCGGCAGCGGCCAGGCGGCCGGCAGAAGGCGGAGACCCTCCACCGTACACAACAGCGGCCGCAGGAAAAGGGACGATGTCGCGGGTGCGCCGGACGCGGCCAGTCCCGGTGACAGCGGGCGGCGGCGGCGGTGGTGGCGCGTGAGAGAGCGACGCGCGTGAGTGGCGCGTTCGCCGCCCGCGGGACCCCGGCGAAAGGCTACCGTGGGAGATGGAGAGATGGGTAATGCTGGCGACTTGTTCCATCCCGTGTTATGATGACGCTGGCGCTTTCGTGACGTGGCCAGACAGCGGTAAGTGGGGCTTCTGTGGCGCAGCAGCATCACAGACGCGCGGTAATGAGTCAAACCCTGTACTTGATGGGGAACTCGGAAGTGATCACGGCCATCATTAGGTACTCGACCTGCCGTTCTGTCGACTCATTAATGTGACACATCCCGTGACGCAGAAATCATCCAAATGAAAGAGGAAATGACTCGACAGAATGCCGGCGGTGTCGTGCATTGCCGTTTCTCACATAGGTACTGCACTGTACAACGGTAATCCGTAGTTGCACCAAAAGACCAATCCAACGCGACTCTTTCACTGCGGCTAAAAGGAAATGCTTTCCGAGTAAACTTCGTTCCTGTGTGATGTCACCCTCCACCGCTGCAGCGCGCTCAGTCCGCTCTGAGGATCCGCGGAGGCGAAACTCACGCCTCCGGGTCGTCGTTGACGTTCATGGTCTTGGCCACCGGTGTGAGCGTCTCCTTGTTGATGCGCGGGTACTGGCTCTGGTTGAAGGTGTAGATCTTGACGTTGAAGCCCGTGTACTTCCGCAGCACCTTCTGCGTGTCCTCGTCCGTGTTGAACGAGTTCATCAGCACCAGCGGCACCTTGCAGTTGTACGTGTTGTTCAGGTGCTGAGAGCGCAACGGTGAGGTGGGTCAGGCATGACGTCACACGTGACGTTGGACGTGACGTCAGACAATGAAGCGGCGCAGAAGACGCCACGCGGAACGATAACACGAAGAGGCAGAACCGACACCTGCACCATGACCTCCGTGTGGTATGACCTCAGCGATCTCACTCCACCATCAGGACATGGGGAAACACACGAAGCCCAGGTACCGCGACCCGAACCCGTCACCGTCATTTGGATCCGCGCAGAGGGCGCCGGCGGCGGAGCGTCCCGCACCTCGATCTGCTGAATGGTGAGGTCGAGGAAGGTCAGGTCGTTCCTGACGGCGATCAGCGACTTGGGGCCCTGGCAGCCCATGGAGGTGCCCAGGCCACCGTTCAGCTTCACCACCACCAGCTTGTCGAGCTGCGCGCTGAGCTGGTCGGCGGCCGGGTCGCTCAACTCGCCGTACGAGCGGATCGTCTCGTCCGAGATCGGCGCGATGTTGTCCCACACCATCTGCGGCCCCTTCTCCAGGATGAAGCGCGAGAACAGCCGCTGGAAGCCATCCGACTCGCTGCGGTACGACTGCCGGAGACGAGAGAAGTGGGGGGGGGGGGGGGGCGGTCAGAGTGGGTGACGGACGATGCAGGCCACGCTGGGCTGCGGACGATGGCGGCGGGTGAGACGGCGGCGTATCACTTCCGCGGGAATCACGACCAGCAGCTGACAGTTGGTAACATTGCGGTAGGCATCTCTACCCATACATTCCCCGGAGACGAAGGAATGTTGCGTGAGGCGGGGCGGGGAGGGAAGATCACCACTCACGGCGGGGAGATTTAAGTGCACGATTACGTACCGCCCGACCGCCCCTTCTGATTCGAGAGTGAGCATCCTGTAATCCCTCGCGCTCGAGAGGGCTCCCCTATACCACCGCGACATCCACAATAGACGATCAAACCGACCCGCACCCGACAACAAGGGCGGCAAACGACACCCGTGAAAGGATGTACACGACTGGGACCGCCCGCAAACAAACACGGCCTCCGAATCACCACGGCACTCGAAAGCCGACGCCGAGACGTTGCATCATCCGAGCCGCCTGGCCACGGCTGAACGCCGTCCCCGCGCACCAGCCCCGACACGCTGCACGCCGGAACCGGCCGCCTGATCGAGACAGGGTGTCCAGGTCTGCGCGAGCCGCGCGCGGCGCGCCGTCCGGCCGGCACGCGCGCCGCCGCCGGCGCTCCGCCCGCCCGGCTCACCTCCCGCAGGCTCTCCGGCACGGTCAGCAGCAGCTTCTCCATCTCGGTGGCCATGCGGATCTGGGCGTCGCGCTTGGTCAGCTCCTTGAAGGCGGCGGCGCCGCCCGAGCCGGTGCGGCGGTGGCCGAACACCTGGCGGAGCGCGCGACCGCGTCAGGGGCCGCCGCGGGGCCGGGCGCCGCCGGCGCCGGGGACGCCGCCGGTCATGGCTGGGCCCGGGCTCGGTGCGGTGGAGGCCGTCGCACACAGGCTGGCGCAGCCTCAGGCGTTCTGCCATGGCCCGCTTCGCACACATCAAGCCGGTCCGAGTCCGTGACGTTAGTGAGTTAGTGACGTCAGTCGGTCCGGCAGTCAGGACTCAGAATCGAGTCAGCGAAGCAGCATTAGTAACTCGACGCTACACGCTCAGACTGGGTTAGATGGACAGACTGGATCCGCAGCGCAGTGCAGGGACTCGCGGAGCAGACTGCACAGCACTGAAACAGCCTTGGCTAGGCTGCGAGGCGAAAGGGATGGAACACTGGCAAACGAGTCATGTTCGGAACCACGGAAGCAGTGTACCGAATCAGAAACCGCCCAGTCGGCCTCAGTTACGCGTCAGCCCGGCCGGCGGGGGTCGGCCGCGACCTGCGACCTCTCAACACATGCCGGCGTTCCAGCGAAGTCCTGCCAACAACAGCCGACACCGACGAACCTTATGGTGGGTCTGTCGTGCCATCCGTCAGCGCTTAGTTAGCCGGCCGGGCAGAGACAGCCGCCGCCTGCAGCGTCAGCATGATGTGCACAGCCATGCAGCCGCGCACCAACAACAACAAATCATGTTTAATGCCATGAAACCACACACCTACAAAACAACCCCGCTGCCGACCGCGCCGGCTCTGTGCGCCGGGCCAATGTTCTCCCAAAAGCCGCCGTGGTAACAATGCATTGTAGCTCTGCCGTCTGCTTCAAAATAAACGATAAGACGAACGATCTTTGGGGAAAATGTGCACGACTCGTGCCGAGTCACATTAATGAAGTGGTAGAGCTTGGGCGCACGACCACAGGTTCTCCTTTAGCGACAGTGGTCTGAACTTCGTAAAATAATATCTAAACACATTATTATTGCAAAAAGAACGGAAGCCGGTGCAGCTACAGCCAGCTGTAAAGCAGGAGGCACAGCTGTGGACACAATCAGACGGGCGATTCACAACATGGGACGTTTTACCAAGCACACGCGGTGCGCTGTTTGTGTGGAAAAGTGCTTTCGTGCTAAGCTCTTGCGCCTTTGACAGGTTTAGCTGTATGGAAGCGTAACCCTTCCGTCGGGCGGTGGAAGCCTGACATTGGTATTCGGGTAGTCTTCATGAGTTATAAGTCGAATGATATTCTGTACTCCGGGAAGAGTAGAGTAGATACATTGGAGACGCTGGAGTAGAAATATTGCCGAAACATCCCTTCCCTTTGCATTTTCAGACAGGTACCGTGCATACCATTACAACGTTGAAACAGAAAATCTTACAACCCGGCTCTGAAAGACGCATGATCTTATGTTCAGCTGATCACACATCCAACGATTAACGGTATATTACGCCAAACAAACAAGCTAGAGCCATCATTTTAAATCCAGTTTTAAAAAATGCGCGGCGACGTCGACGCCTGAAAGGTTTTGCACAACTTTTTGGGCCATCAGCTTATATGAAAATCCTCTTTTCCGGCAATTTAAACTTGCCGTATTTGAAGCTTTACATTTGCAGCCAGTGATGGCACACATGCGCCAGTGAAGTGTGCCTCAAAATGTCATTGATAACAGGCCCGGGATGGACGAACGTAAAACTATCACGCTGAACCAGCTCAATGCCCGACGTGAACACCATCGTTTCATCACGACTCCAATCATGACCTGAACGTTCTCCGGCCATCGATTCACCGGCCATCGGTTCATCAACAACCGGCCATCGGTTCACTGGCTACCGGTTCACCGGCCATTGGTTCACTAGCCATCGGCCATCGGTTCACCAGCCATCGGCTCATCGGCCATCGGCTCACCGGCCATCGGTTCATCGGTCATTGGCGGCAGGGCTGTTGGTACCCGCCCGTCCCGTGCAGCGGCACCGGGATCGCGCCCCCTTCCCAGCCCAGCTGCGACTCGTGCACCATCGTGCCTGCAATTATGCACTGTCACCTGAGCGGTCCATCCGCAGTCGGCACACCCGCTCCTGATGACACCCCTCCCCTTCACCTGACCCTACCTGCAAACACTCACTGCAAACCGTCTGACTACAAACACTCGGGCACAGGTCGCTGATCCGCGGACCATCCGCGAGGGACCATTCGCGGACCATACTATTAATGTGCGGACCTTTCGCGAGGGGATCATTTCGACTTGAGCGCTGAAATAATTGGCTCGCCGTTTCTCTAATCTTCCTGTCAAGTCTTCTCGACGTCCGCAGCATCTCCATCATCTTTACCCCTCTTCTCCAGTGCCCTCCACTACCATTTTGAAGTCAAAATATCAGTTAGTGTCCGAATTTAAACACCGGGCGTCTTCCCTGCCTTGGTCCTGCGAAAATACCTTTCCGTTCTCATCTTCTTCCTAAACACCTTCCAACCAGAGACACAAACTGTCGCGCGCCGCTCGGTCCATTCTTTGTCGGAGACTCGTCCGTACACGTCTGCACCTGAACACGACGGCCAAAACAGCCACCACCAGCCAGCACACAAACACGTCACCACCACCAGTCCGCACACAGACACGTTGCCCCACCAGTCCGCACACAGACACGTTGCCCCACCAGTCCGCACACAGACCCGTTGCCCCACCAGACCGCACACAGACACGTTGCCCCACCAGTCCGCACACAGACGTCATGAACCCATCCCGGAAAAAAATCTCCTCTTGACAACATATCGCTACAGCTCGCGTGGAATCAAGCGTTCCACTTGACGAACTGCGAGTTTTGATAGGTCGCTCCGGACTAACGGAACGATAACTCCGTTCCAAGTGGCTTTATCGTGACAGTCTACACGTTCGGGTCTACCTTTTCCTGTTGAATGGCGTTTCCGAAACACGGCTACGTTGTGCCGTTTATGTCCGCTTAGAAATTTTCTTCTAATCTTTTAAAATATCAACACAAAACTATCACTTTGAGAGCCATTCAGGTGGTTTGAATACTATAATTATAGCGGTGCGCAGGCATTATGAACTGCTTGTTGCACAGTGCTCAGCGGGAGTGACCCCGCAGTTCGGTGCACTTCTCATTGGGATTTTCACGCTCTCTTCAGCAGATTCTCCAGCCCAGACTCACAGCCCAGCCCCGCGGTCCAGCCGCACCGTGCGCCCGTGCACCAGCTGCCGCCGCGGCTTCACCGGCGGCCGGGTTGGCGTCCGAACCCACTGTCCAGTGACGGAGTTCTCCTCTCCAGCGTCGTGGCGCTGATGGCGGCCATCCTCTCGCCGCCACCACCGGCGGCTGTCGCTTCTTATGGGTAGCAGCTCACCCTTGTGAGCGCAGCAGCCCAGGTCAGCAGCACCCGAAGCCAGCGCAGCCCAGGTCAGCAGCATCCGAAGCGAGCAGCAGCCCAGGTCAGCAGCACCGGAAGCGAGCGCAGCATAGGCCAGCAGCACCCGAAGCGAGCGGCAGCCCAGGTCAGCGGCACCCGAAGTCAGCGGCAACCCAGGTCAGCGGCACCCGAAGTCAGCGACAGCCCAGGTCATCTAAAGCGTGAGGTGGCCATCTCGGCCCATACATCGAGGCCGCGTACGCGCACCAGTACACGCATGAGGCGTGCACTCCAGCGGAGTACGGACGCATTGCATACCCCGAGAATCGCTCCTTGAACGAACTATGGTGTTGTACGCGGAGAACTCACAGAGCCATATTTGTAAGCTTTCATGCTGGGCCTACCGCATCACAACTGGGCAAATTGCTTGAGTACATGTTCTGCCCATGAGTCCCGAGGAACATTGCATTCCTTCACCGGAATGTTTCACATTTGAAGATACTGAGGTAAGCATTAGATATGATGAAATAAACTCACTTATAACCGTTGGTACCCTTGGTAAGTGGAAAGGAGTGCCCTTGGCAACGAAAAACCATTTGGGCGTAAAATGACCACGGTAGTGGTAGACGCGCAAACGCGCAAACCAATCGATCATATAAATGTTCGCTTGATAACGTTGTTTACTCACTTATGCCCGCAGTATATTGCGTCTCTTATTCTCAATGTAAGAGCTCATGACGCCGAAAACCCCGGCCTGAATGCTTCTCTCGCTGCCACCGTGCTCCAATTCGTCTCCCTCGGTGCGCGACATCGCACGCAGTAGTGACGTCACATACAGCCGGGGCCGGTCGGCGGGGCACTGCCCTTCGCCGCGCGCCCGTCTGACCCACGCACCGCCGCCGCCCGGCCGGCCTGGACACGATCAGCGGCACGTATCGCCAGACACCGTAGCCGTCCACGCGGACTCGTAGCAGCGGACCATGGACGCATGCATGCACAGACGGCGCCAGGGGTGGTAAGCATTACGGTCCATATCCAGATTGGAGTCTGCGGCGAGGTGGACGGGCAAAACGCGAAGTCCTCATGAATTGTATTTGTATGCGTCGTCCCACGCAGCCTAAGAACTGACATGGCCCCGGCGAAAAGCTGTAAATCATGCAAAAACGAGGCCAAGATGCGATCTGTACACAAGCTCGAGGGAGCGCACGGGATCTCGAGATAGCAGAGCCACTTGACTCACCTCATATTTCGGCGGAGTTAGTTTGCGGTTATCCAGCGGCTGGCAAGCAGACCTACTCACGGTGTGCGAAGGCATTTTAGCGAGAGGCTTGGCGCGTGCGTCGACCACCACTGCCGCCCGTCAAAAGACTCCCGTTCGTACGGGAGTCCGGCGCCGGCAGGGGCAGATGCAGGCGGCTCTGGCGGCGGCCGAGCAGTGGCGGGGCGCGCGTGCTGAGCGGGGCGACCGGCCGCACCGACACACGCCAGCAAAAACCACTCCGCGACCCACTAACCGTGCCGACTTGCCGATACAACGCTACGCGAACGGCCAGCGCCAATCAGGGTCATCGACCCCAGAAGTGCACTACGCTCGCCGCGCCCTGCAACCGTCAGCCGTATGGCCCGGCACGTGCCGTGGTAGGCGGAAGCTCCTCCGCGACCGAAGTCAGCCACGCCAAATCCGAACCGGACCTCGCCATACTCGCTGACGCCGATGGGGGCCGCGCCGCCGGGCGATAAGCGGCGGCGTCGCTCCTGGAGCCGCCCATGAACGGCCGGGCCCGCGGGCGGGCGCGATGTTTGTCTCCCTGCGTGGCGGCCGGCGGCCGGGCGGGCTGCGAGGACGGCGCCTGCCGCCGCCGCTGCCGCTCCCACCGCCGCCAGACGCGCCGCATAGGGGCCAGTCACGCCCCGCCACCGCGCTCGTCGGCCGGCCGACGACGGCGGCACAGGTGCGAGGGCGGAGGAACCGACCGCCAGTCACGGCGGCCCTGCGAGTCGTCCGCCCGCCGCCTCAGCGCATTCCCAGGTGCTCTTCGGAACGGTCTGACTGGACAATAGTTCGGCACGTCTCTTATTTAGGCCGACCGGTCGACTTGAAACGTTGCAACAATGCGAGAAGTCGCTGATATCCGTTTCACCAGCTCATAACGATTCTTAGAGGACGCAACGGCGAAGCGTGAACGACACTACAGGCGTCCTATTCACCCGTCCATCGCCCCGTAACGTTGAGGCGAACTCAGGGAGCCATCGAAGGCGGGTCACTGGCGCCTTCTTCCTCTCATCCTTCAAAAAATGGTGGGTGGACATCACGTGAGAAGCTACGATTAAAGCGAGCAAAGCCCAAACTTTACTGCTATGCCCGCATTAGCAGTGAACTCATTATCCATTGGACCCCTGACCCAGATGACCTATGTTCCACGTGTGTCATAATGTGGCCTTTCCCTAATGCGATCCTCGCATCCACACATGAGCAGCACAAGACCAGACGGGAGCTTCCTCTTAGGCGCCGTCTCTCATAAGCGGCATGAGACAAGACAGGAGTTTCCTGTTGGGCGGCACCACCCTGCCAATCCACTCCTCGCTACCCCCATTCCCTAGCCTGTGTGCCACTCCCGCGCTGCTGACGCAGGAAGTGCCCCACAGCTGGGTCTTAGCGAGGGCGGCGGCGCTCAAGAAGGTGGAGCTTTTGGACAGCGGGGCGTGCAGCCACAAATCACTGCTGGCTGCACCCGACAGGTGGTAAGTGTGACATTGTGCAGTGCAAGCTACAGTGACACAACACACCTTTGGCGATGTTATCTGTGCTGAATGATGGGACACAACAAATATTCTGCTAAAAATGGTTGCCATAAGGTTATTCCTCAGCATCAGGGCCAACCAGAGACTTTGCAAACCACAGCATAGACTTGGTGACATGAGTGGTCAGAACTAGCAAATAATTTTTCCTAAGCATGGCAACCCAAAAGTGAAGGATATTTGGGCCAGACCATGTGAGAGCATGAAGCAGCCATTCATGGCACACAGTGCCTCCTTGGAGGGTTAATGCACTGCCCTGGGAATCAAATGCACATTCAAATCTCTGCTACTGTACATGCTGCATGCTTCAAAACAAAACCAGTCACTTTTGAGTCAGCTTCTTACACAGATCTCTGGTATGGTCTGTAGACATACTCACAAACAAACATATCATATAACATATATGTTTGTCTGTGCATGTACAAACTGATAAACAGGTATATATTTGAACACATATTAGTACATAGACATATATGTATTTATGCACCTGTGTATGTATGTACGAGACATGATTGCAAATCTTGAAATTTCATGGACTTTCAGGCGTAACCCAAAGGTCTTGATTACCAATAATGGACATTCTAAGACCTTAGGTATGTGCCTTCCAGAGAAGGACAATAAACAGAGCAAACCATTTACCTGGAATCAAAATAATTTAAAAGTAATATCAGAGGCAGATCCATTAAAAAATATATAGGAATAGGTCAGAAGCCAGAGTCTCAGCTAGATATTCTGCACAAACCTTTGTTTCACCATCAGATCCCATATCTTCAGTAATAGTAGACCAGGTTGTTTCTTTGGCCCTGAAATAAAAAAGACAAAATGTATGTTTTTGCTCAGGAAGACATGGTTGAGAAGTATATACCACCACACTTATGAAAGGAAAACCAACATAGTTACATGAAAATCATAAATCCTAGCTAAATCACTTGACCACGCACACAACACCTTAAAGATGAAACAGGTTGGACCACATAACAATGATGATGTAGCTGCTTAATGTTGGATCTATCAACAGGTAATTGTCATCAGAGAAATTTTGGGCACAACGACATTACTGAGTGAGACAGCAAGAGAAGTGAGAGAGGTACATAAAAAACTGAAAGCCTTTATTCTAAGCAGTGATATGTACAAAATACATAATATTCAAATAAACATCATAAGATCCAGTACCATGTGCCTCCCCAAGTCATCAACAACACTGGTTCCTCATTAACCATAAACAGACAACTCACTAAAGTCACAGTTATTCCACACAGCAAGAGCCAGGGCAACCTGAACTTTAAGCGTGACTTGTCTCTATGTTCAAAAGCATAAGCACTGTCTTAGGTCTGGCAAAATTTGAGGTATCTGGGACTTGTCAGCATATCCTCTTCAGGGTGGCAGTCAAACCTTTTTTGGGTTACTTTCAGCTCTATGGTTTACTTACATGCCTGCCTGGATCATTCTGGCTTGCCACATTACATATCACCTTCTTTCTGGTAGGGCTTAATGGCTGGAGAGCCCTAAGATAACCAATCACCAACCACAGGCCTGTGCAGGGCAACGTCTCGCAGGAATGATTGAGGCTCCAACAACTTTGGATGTGTTGAGGCCACTGTCTCCACACATATGTTCATATCAATTGGTGGTCTGAGTCCCAGAAAAGTATTCCGTGACAACTCTGGGCCTGCATATTGCATGCAATTTTTAAATTCGTGTTAAATCTTGGTTAGCCCTACCATCCAGACGTGCGAGGCTCTTCAAAAGCACACACGTCGTTTGGAAATGTCCAGCATGCAATGTATATGTCAGATATACCATCTTGTGTGTGCTGTCTGGTAAAAATAGCTCCAAAATCCCTACAATTCTGTCAGCACACGGCTATTCCGGCCCCAACGTGTAGACTCAAATCCTTACCGTTCCCTAACCCGCTCACGAGCGCCGCAGCGAAGGTCACCTCCGTGGCGAAAACGCGAGTTTTTGTTTATAGTGATGAAAGCAGCTGTTGCTTAAACTGGCCCCCTGTATTAGGCATTTTGTATCTGAACTTTTGAAAACTTTAGTATTTGGTGTATTTGAGAAGGCGAGAAAGGTGTTTAAAATATACAGATATCCTTTAAGGGCGCTTCCTTTGCCCAGGTAAAACATGATACTGGTAAGGCAACGAATTTCCTTAGAATATAATTTCTCTCTATCTGCTGTTCCGTAGTTGGCGCTCAAAAGACAGCTTGGGAGTATTCGGCAGAAACTTGAGTGCGTGTTTGAACTGATCGATAAGATAGCAACATATAAATATTTACATGTGACACATGGAGAGCACATTCTGTGCCGGAATGCTGACAGAATGAGTTGCTGTAATCTATCACAAGGTGATGTGTGCTTTGCTGCAGTACCTCAGTCGACAAACAAACGTGTGTGCCATCGCGATTCACGTCGTATCGTGTGTCGCTGAAGTTGCAAGATCTTGTGTTATTGTTCGAGTGTGGAACAAACGAGGTGATCGAGGGGACCAGGCCTTTTGGTATAAATAGAGGCTCCGTTGTATGTAGACGCTGCCTCCTTGTTCTGTACCTCGAGATATTATTAACTGCTGAGTTAACTGCTATTAACTGCTACACCCTTTGCACTAGGATCCATCCTGTGGCTAAATCTTTCATTTTCCTTTACCATGCTTAGTCTCCATAGTATACCAAAAGAAAGCTGCAAGGAAAATCTGAATACAAAGGGGACGCGATGAAGGCAACTGAAACGGATGCTTGAGCCCAGCAGGTTATGCGCCCTAATCCAAGGCAAGACAAGACATTGAATGCGTGCTGTGTGGTGGTGACGTAAATCTATCTACCGCTGCAATTTACTTGACCTGCTATGATCTTTCGGGACAAGAATGAACCAGGTCAACGTAACGTGAACTCAACAATGCCCTCTCCCTTGCTTTGCACCGGACAGCATGAGCCGATTGAACGTGGCCCTTGCTTGGCCTTGAGCTGGAAGCAATTATTCATCCTTGGAGATGGCTTTAGGCCGTCGAGGGAGAGAAGGGGCTTCGCATTGTCCCATCAAAAAGAAAAGGGGAACTTCCGATACGACAGCAGCATTCATTTATCCCTGGTACCATCGCTTGGGGCCCAGGCCCATATACTGTGCTCAGTGCCCACAAGGTAGCCCATGAATCACGTTATTCATGAGCAAGAGGGAGGGTTTAGTGAAGCGTAACTGAAAGGTAACGAGTTGAACAGGTTTGGATAGCGAGACGCTACGACCAGGTGGTCGCACATCGTACGGACATTAAAAATGAACAGCATTACCAGCGTTCAAGTCTAGTTCTTTGTGCAGTACACAATATGTTGTGTCTGCGCCCACCACCAGGACCTTCATCGGTGTTTGTGATCTGCTAGACGCATACTAAATACAGTTGAAGGAAAGTCGCCCCCCCCCCCCCCCCAACTGCAGTTTCATACGAGAGACATAAAATTCCAAAAAATATCGCGACGCATAACTACGCAGACTACACATTGGCATGGAAGCTACATATTTATACTGGTGATTCTCCGCGAAGCGGGTATTCAGGTGTATCGCCGAACTTCCGACAGCGCAGCGTCAGGACGCGATGCGACACATCCAACACCCAGCTGGGAATTACGTGAGAGTCCCGGCTGGGCACATTTTTTCGTCAGCGCCCACGACCTGGACTCCACTTCGGCAGCCAGACGGTACGGGGAACGACGCTTTGAAATTGGATTCGCGCCTCTACCCGCTCTGCCTGCTAATATATGGTATGAAACGTGAAAACGATCAAGAACGGGCAAATCCATCTCGCCCGCTGCTGTGCACGTGACTCTTGGCACGGACCACAGCACATCTGGCACCACATGATTTCCCATTCAGTTATCTATCGAGACATGACAGTTTCTTATCGCTCCGACTCCCGCTTGCCGAGATGTGGTCCTGGTTTCGAATGACTACTCGTCAGTTTTTGTCATGGGGTACCTTTTCAGGCGGCTTGTGCAAAATCAATGCAGCCAAAACAGACCTTTCGCCACGTGCCCCGCTCGAATCCCGGACCGCGGCGGCACGCGACCTATGTGTGGACAACCGCACCGTGCGCCTGCACGTCGTGACCAAAGTCACCGTTCAGTAGCCCACCATTCATCCTGGGCTGGACGCAACGCAAAAATGGGGCAGTTCGTTGTTTCGCGGTTTAAGGACGCATCAACTGCAATGAGCATTTGCACTGCAAAATAGAACAAATGGACGGACACACGCACCCTGAGCAAACAGCATACAGATGCAGTGACAGGACTTGGCTGATCGCTACATTAGAGGGTATATGCCCAGGGACAATACATACGTACCCCATCTTATCATTCCCACGTTTTTTTTTTTTTTGCTGGAAATGCCCTTTGCTTCTTAACACGAGCTCGGGCGGGGGGTCAAGATGACCTCCCGCCCCGAAGGTTTTTTTCTGGAATGGTTTCCGAACGGCGCGGCGCAGCCGCGCCAAATTTTGCACAGATGTAGACAAATGCATAGATCGTCTGGCATAAAAATTTAGAGTACCTTGTAAGGTCGCCGACCTATGGCAGGTCAAAGTTGGGCATGGTTACAGCGAAGGCAATTTCTCGGGAGTTGTTCAATCCGATCCAACAAGGGAGTATTAGCCATACATCTCTGATATACGTTTTAGGCAACACAACAATTTAATAAACAAAAGACATCGACCTTAGGTCAGGTATGAAGTTCACATTAAGGCACAGGTGTCGACTTATATTCTTTTGTGGGGGCCGTGACCCCTCTCAATATTGGCTTACCCCCCCCCCCTCCAATGTTTTTGGCCGGCATGCTACAAAAAACGTGGGTAAAAGATAATCATAACACACACTATTTCTCTGATCTTTCTGCGAAGTGGTGTTTCGCACTACTCTCATAACAAAAAGTCATCGTTGCTCCCACTACGAGATACAGATCGTAACAGCTGAGCGGAAAAAAGATGCGGTTAACTTCACATACCTAACGCTATAAGACACGCAATGGCTCGTGAGGTTAGAGTGAGAAGCTCTGGAATATGGGGATGACCTAAGTCCTTCATGGCTAACCCCAGCCCCATCCCCCACAACCAAAATTATTGCCGCCTCCCATGACCGCCATAAAAGAGGACCATCGGCGCCCTAAGGTGGCCTCTAAAGGGGCACCTTCACGTGCCGATCGGAAGCAACGCTTGCGTCCAGTGCCTGCTCCCAGGATCCAACCCTGCATGACCTCTTAACTTCTTAAATTAAAGACATAAATTGTGCAAAGATCACAAACATACATTAAGTCAAAATAAAGTGGGCTAAATCCGGTGAGAAAAAATGGGGGTGGGGTAGATTGTCGGGCTTTTGGTTTGCCCCCCCCCCAAATAATTAACAAAAATTGACACCCCTAGATTAAAGTCAAAACTAGCCTGTTTTATAAACCTAGGGCTTGCTGTGTGGGGTTGTTTCCGGCGCTCATTTCGACTTTGATTCTTTCGACATTTCAACACCAAGACCTTCAAAAGATAAAAAAGTCACTGACCTAAGATGAGCATGTGACCTTTTGCTAAAACAGTTATCTAGGTTCTAGGGACGCTTTGGGAACCAGCATGGTATTTGACTTTGTTTGACCTTATTTGACCTAATAGTCATGACCTAGGAAGCTTAAACTTCGACTTAAGTGAATTCAGGCACAGTTCAAGACGCCCTGTGAATTAGGTGTCTAGCTTTTTTTGTTCCTGAGATCTCAGGGGGTCAAACTGACCCCCGCCCGAGCGAAGGGTATCAAACCAGCCACCCGGGCGCGCGTTTAACTTTATGGAACTGCGGAATGTTGGAGCTCATTTACTGGTCAGATGCCATTGTCCTGTCTTGAAAGGTCTACCAGCTGTTGCAGGCTGGCATAGCATAGCGGGGCTCTCCCCCGGCGCGTCACTGAAGCAGCTCCTAGTCTCTCGACGTTCATTCCCGGATTTGATCGTGCTGGTTATAAACGCGCGTCATCCTGCTGCCCTTCGGCGACGCGTCTCATTACGCCGAGGAATGTGCACGTAATCACGCCCCTGGCCGGCGTCCAACAAGCCGCAATGCCGGGTCTCACGGGGCCGCTGACCGGCGCTGACCGGGTGACATCACCGCTCCTTGCTTGTTTTCTTTCCATCAGTCGATCCGGCCAGATCGCTGCTTGCTCGTTAGCAAGCAGAACTAGCGACCTCGCATCGGATCGCTGCTTGTTTGGCGAAGGCGATTGGACAGGCGGTCACCAGTAATTACATTTATTGCACACAGGTTTACGACTACATGGCGGTTCATTGCACGCCACCAGAGCTAATTTGTTTCTGCAGGGCACGAGCCATGCACTGTTAGCCTGATCCTACCCAATCGTGCCATCCACGCAATCTGGGCCTGCTTCTATAGAACCTGAGCCTAGTTATTGCACATTGAACTCCAAAAAAGACCACTTATCAATGGACGATCACTTCACGGTTCCAAAACGACTTGTAGATGTCAAAACACCCCACGATCTGAATCTGACTGGATACGATCACCGCGAAAATATTCAGGGTACGGAAACG